TTTTCAAAGTTCTTTGAGAATAAAGACTTAAGCTACAGTAAGTTTGGAGGTTTTTTTGACCCGTTGATGGGAGGGAAGTTCCCAGCTCTTACTGGTCACAAAACCAGCTGCATTTGGAGCAGAATGGATATGGGACTTTGGGAACAACAATTACTATTGGGTGGTTTATTTTTAAATCACTGTGTTTACAGTGAAAGATTTTCTGTTCCCTTCTGATATTTGCACTCAGATGGGAAGAGAATGTCTGGGATGAGACTCCTGTTCCAGCTTGCTCCTGTGCTCACTGAGTGACGTGTTCCTTCCCCACAGGGACGGCACAGAAGCCCGGGAGGTGCCACGGAAAGCAGCTCCTCGCAGTGCCCTGGAAAGTGAAGAGTATGTTAAAGATGTTGTAGGTTTGTTGAATGCCAAAGACTTCAGAGAGAGGATAACTGGCATCAGGCAGCTGCTGCTGGACACAGAGAACAGTCCAGGCCTGGTGGTTGCAAACCTTGTGAAGGTAACTGTAGGAAAAGGTTGGATTTGAGAGGTCTTTACAGTTGCGTCACTGAAGGTTTCCGATAGAAATCCTGACTCCCTCTTTGAATGGCAGTGGTTAACAGAGAGCTTTGAGGAGCAGGGCAGGACTGGGGGAGATACAAAGGGAGAAAGGAAGTAAATAGAAAAAAGCTGGAAGTTTTCACTCAGAGAAGGCACTTTTGAACTACTGCCCAGAGCAGCTGTGGCTGCCCCTGGATCCTGGAAGTGTCCCAGGCCAGGTTGGATGGGGCTTGGAGCATCCTGGGCTGGTGGAAGGTGTCCCTGCCCTTGGCAGGAGTGGCACTGAATGGGCTTTAAGGTCCCTTTGCAACCCAAACCGTGCTGTGATTCCATGAGTTCTGCAATACTGTGTGCTGTGTCCATGCCACTCTGGGTAAACATCAAAATACTGGATAGGTTGTAAAAAGAGCAGCAAGGATTAATCAAGATCTGAGAAACTGTCTCTGAAGTGGAGTTGTGGATTTGTTTGTGTGGGAGAAGGTGGGGAAAGTCTTTATTATGGAAAAGCTCAGGATGAGGATCCTGTCTGGTAGGAAAGGAGACCTTTCTTTAGGAGAAAGAAGAGGTCCAGCAGCTGTAAATTAAAGACAGGTACAAGGAAAGCAAACCCAAGCTTATCCTCCTACAGTGCTGTGGAATTCTACTGTGGAACTTCCCAGTATCTGAACTGTGAATGGTGTGAAACCTTTCAAGCACTGTCTGTGCTAAACAGAGCCATGTCTTCCCAAAAATCCTGGCTTGCAGGAAATTTTAGTCCTAGGGAGTTACAGGTGGCTGGTGTACCTGCAGTCCATTGCACAGCAGGGATTCAGATCAGATGAGGTGAGAGAGAGTTGAATGAATAAAGTATTAAAATATCAAATGCTGCTTTATTTGCTCAAAAAACGATCTTGGGTGTTTGCATGTCACAGAATCCCAGAATGGTTTGAGTCGGAAGGGATCTTAAAGACCACCCAGTTCCAGCCTCTGGAGATGTCAGAGCCATGTTTTGTCAAGATGGACAATTGAAGTGTAACAATAGCTCAGGAAATGTACTCTCCATCTCAGACATTAATTCCTAATTCCAAGAATGCTGTCTGGATGCTTTTCCAGATCTTTGATGCTTTCAAGCCTCGCCTCCACGACTCCAACAGCAAAGTGAACCAGGTGGCTTTGGAGACGATGCACAAGATGATTCCACTGCTCAAAGACAGTTTGTCACCCGTGATCAACATGTTAATTCCTGCCATAGTAGACAACAACCTCAACTCCAAAAATCCAGGGATTTACACAGCTGCCACAAACGTTATCCAGGCTCTCTGTCAACACTTAGGTGAGTAATTGACTCTCTTAAGCTTAAAGAGTTTTAATTAAAGTCTAATTTGAAAGTGCCACTCTTTCCAAGAGTTTCGCAGGATTGTTACTCTGTGTAACGAATCACTGGATTTATTCTCATACCTTTTAAGCCACACAAGGCATCCTGTATTTCGTCAGTAGGTGGTTTGGTTATTTTTCCAGAGCAGCTGTTTGTTGTGGTGAAGGGGCACAGGTTGCCCAGAGAAGCTGTGGCTGCCCCTGGATCCCTGGAAGTGTCCAAGGCCAGGCTGGAGCAACCTGGGCTGGTGGAAGGTGTCCCTGCCCGTGGCAGGGGTGGCACTGGATGGGCTTGGAGGCCCCTTCCAATGGTTCTCTTAAGAATATGTTTTTATGCTCTTATTCCCTTAAATCTGTCAGTGTGATTTTTGAAGCTGATATTAGTAAGATTCTTATTTACATTTTCCCCCACTGTGTTTAATTTTCCATTTAGAGATTGTAACCTGTTCTGCTCTTTGCCCTCAGACACCTCTCTGCTCCTGCAGCCCTTCTGCACAAAGGCCCAGTTCCTGAGCGGGAAAGCCAAGCAGGACCTGACAGAAAAGCTGGCTGGTAAGGGGGGTTTGCTGGGCTTGGTGGTCTGGTACCATCTTCATCGGGGGAATTAATTGCAGGAGGGTGGTGGCTCTGTACCTGGAATGTATAAATATGTATCAGTATCTTAAGGGTTTAATTTACATTTAAATACCTTAGGTATTTAAGTATCTTAAGGATTAAGATGTATACATTGCTTAAGTGTATTATAATTTTAATAGGGAATTGCATTCCCTCTCCCAGTGATAATTCTTTCATGATCTTTCCAGGAATCCCAGAATGGTTTGGGTTGGGAAGGGACCTTAAAGCTCATCCAGTGCCACCCCTGCCACGGGCAGGGACACCTTCCACCAGCCCAGGGTGCTCCAACCTGGCCTTGGACACTTCCAGGGATCCAGGGGCAGCCACAGCTTCTCTGGGCAGCCTGTGCCAGGGCCTGCCCACCCTCCCAGCCAGGTCTTTCTTGAAAAATGCTAAATTTTCCTGTTTTAAGTGAGCAGGGAATGTCCTTATGGGAAATACTCTTGACCCAAACATGTGACTTGGCTTCCTTTCAGAGGAATTCTGTGTGAAATGGAACTAAAGGACACACTGGACAGTCTGTGCTATATATATATATATATAATATATATTCTGTGCAGGGCAGGATTTGGATTAGATGGTCCTGGTGGGTCCCTTCCAGCTCAGGATATTCTGTCATTCTATGATTCTGTATTTACAGGATAAGGCTACTTTTTCCCTTAAACTCCAGTACCTACTGCTTATTTCTGAGATAAAGAGGAAACTGGAAAAACAGATGTGTTAGTCTGTGAGAAATTAAGGCCCTTTTGAGAATCCTAACTAAGAAAAAAACTTGAAAAAACCTTCACTTCTTTTACTTGTTTTAATTTAATGGAAAATGGTAATTGTCAGCAGCACTGGGGCTACGGTGTGAACTTCTGGAAGAGGATAAAAGGGGTGTCTGTACAGAAATCTGGAATGTTTTATGGGAACAGCGATGATGTTGCAACACCAAGCTCTTGTACAGAGCAGCAAGGAATCATCTGCAGTGTGTTTCAGTGAGTGTGTAAGTTCTGAAAGGCTCCCTGCTGTTTGCAGAGCTGGTGCCGGAGCTGTACCCGCGCAAGCCCCACGCTGTGGAGCAGAAGGTCCTGCCTGTGCTCTGGCCCCTCCTGGGGAACACGTCCAGCAGCGGCGCCGGGGCCGGCGGGAGCCTCCGGACAGCCACGGCCCGACTGGCCAAAGCACTGTTTGCACAGATGGGGCCCAGCCTGCTGGCCCACGCTGCAGCACAGCCAGCACACGTCAGGAAGGCTTTGGAAGAGCTTCTGGAGACAGGAACGTAAAGTCACCAGCGCTGAGGGTGAAACTCCACCGGCCGCCTGGCCCGGGCACGCAGACGGGGACACGGGACAAGGTGGGAACATCCCTGTGTCGAGCATGCACAGTGCTGGAGGAGCTGCTGGGACAGCCTGTCTGAACGGGGCAGGGTGGGGCTGGCTCCCCTCCCTGCCCCCAGCCCATCTGTGCTTCTCTTCAGAGGATCCAGCCCAGGCCCCTGGATTGCTGGTGAACAACCACCCATGGTCACATCAGCGCCATGCTTTGCACAGAGGAGTGGAAGAGAACCCTGGGCACAGGGATGCAGAACCACAACGTTCTGTGTGCTGTTTGTGAAGAACTCGTGTTTTTGTACCCACTCAGGCAGCTGTGCAGTATTGGCTGGGCAGGAGCCACCACTCTGGTGGGCCCTTCTCCTTCCCCAGCCATGGGCTCTGTACGCATTGGACATGGGACCTGACAGGATAGATAAATAAATAAAGGGATTTATTTCTGTAAAGGGATGTATTTCTGTGAAGGAATGGGGTGGAGTGGCTGCTGGCAGATAGGGACTGGGAGTGCTGGTGCCAGCAGCTGAACGTGAGCACGGGTGGGCAAGAAGGCCGGGGGCATCCTGGCTTAGATCAGGAACGGTGTGGCAGCAGGACCGGGGCAGGGACTGTCCCCTGTGCAGGCACCCTGCAGCCACACCTCAGATCCCGTGTCCAGCTCGGGCCCCTCAGCTCAGGAAGGACCCGGAGGGGCTGGAGCGTGTGCAGGGAAGGGAACGGAGCTGGGAAGGGGCTGGAGCAGGAGGGGCTGAGGGAGCTGGGGGGGCTCAGCCTGGAGAAAAGGAGGCTCAGGGGGACCTTCTGGCTCTGCAGTCCCTGACAGGACACTGCAGTGAGGTTGGGCTCTTCAGCCGTGCCCGCAGCGAGCGGAGCAGAGGAATGGCCTTAAAACGACACCGGGGAGATTCAGCATGATACTCGAGACAAGTTCTTCGCTGAAGGGGTGGGCGGGGGCTGCCCAGGGAGGCGTGTGGCGCTGGGCTGTGGCGGCGGGCGGTGGTTTGGTACTGAGGGCAGCATTGAGCTGCCCGCTCCCGAAGGTCTGTGGCACCCTGCGCTGCTCGGTGTCCCCGCGGGGCTGTCCCGTCCCGTCCCGTGCCGTGCCCAGCGCTGAGGGAGCGGCGCCATGGGCCGGGCCGGGCCGGGCCGGGCCGGGGCTGTGGCCGTTGGTGCGCACGCGCGGCGGGAGGCGGGCGGCGCGCGCGCGGGGCGCTGTGCGCGTGCGCGGTACGTGAGGCCCGGCGGCGGCGGCTCCGGCAGGTACGGCCGGGGGGTCTGAGGGAGCGGGACCGGGGGGCTCTGGGGGCGCTGAGGGGGCTCTGGGGGAGCGGAGGGGCTGAGGGGGCTCTGAGGGGATCTGGGCGGGCCGGGGGCAGCCGGTCGGCAGAGAGCCGAGCCGGGGGGCCGGGGCCGGGCCATGCGCCCTGTGGGCCCCGCCGCCTCCCGCGGCCGGGCCTCGGGTCCGTCTGACGGGGAACCGTGAGGGGTGTCCCTGGTGTCCCCCCGTGTCCCTGGTGTGTCCCTGGTGTCCCCCCGTGTCCCTGGTGTGTCCCCGTGTCCCTGCTCGCCGCGCTGGAAGGGCCGCGCGGTGCCGGCCCCGCTCGCGTGTGACGTTGTCGCTCGTTCGGAGCCAGAGGGGCCGAGGGCGGGAGGGAACGGCCCCGACCGCGCCGGGAGGGCCGTCAGGGGAGATTTGTCCATGGGAAGGGTGGTCAGGCCCTGGCAGGAGCTGCCCAGGGAGGTTTGGAGTGCCCAGCCCTGGAGGTGTCCAAGGCAGGCCTGGCCGTGGCACTCAGTGCTCTGGGCTGGGGACAAGGTGGGGATGGGCACAGGGGGATCCATGGGCTGGGAGGGCTTTTCCAGCCTCAGTGGCTTTGGCATTCCGTGATTGCCGCGGTCCTGGCACGGCCGCGGGGTCGGGGCACACCCGGCCCTGCCCGGGCGGTTCCAGCAGCGCCTCCTCGGCGCCGGCAGCGGGCAGAGCTCAGATAAGGCCCCGCTCCTGCCCCGTGGAGCTTTTCCTGCCCGTTCCCCTTTAGGTCATTCTCCGTTCAGAAGCGGCCGTTCTGTGTACAATAGTCGTTTGCTGGAAACGGGCTGAATAAAACACGCTGATATGAATTATTTAATATCAGAGTGTGTAGGTGTCTGATACACCAGTTCGGTTATTTAGCCTGACTGGTGTAAAAACTCCTGGAATTAAGGTAAGAGCCAGGAATTAGGGCGAGAAACGTTGGAACTAAGGTAAAAAAAAAACACCTGGATTTAGGTTTCCCTGGTGTGCCCCAGCTCTGTGCCCACCCATGCTGCTCCCTGGGCTGGAGCAGTTGGTGGCCCGGGCATGGCCTGTCCCCGTGGCTGGTTCAAAGCATGGATTGCTGTCAGATTTTGGGATACGCCCCGGCTCCAGGGGCGGGACTGGAACATCTGTCAGACAGACCGAGTCAGTTTGGAACCTCGTGTGCAGCTCAGACCACGTGTGGTGATCCAGGGCTGCTTCCCCTCTTCCTTTTTCCCCTCCTAATCTGATGACACGTGAATCGTTTTTTTGAAGCTGGAATACATCTTCTGAATCAGCTGGAGGGTGAAAACATCTGTTACACATCAGAATAAGTTTAGGGCCTGTGTTATCCCATGTTAAAAACCGTTGCATTTGCTCACAGAATCATGGAATTGTGAAGGTTGGTCTCCAAATCCAGCCACCCCCCCAGCACTGCCAAGGCCACCACTGACCCATGTGCCCAAGTGCTTTTAAATCCCTCCAGGGACAGCAACTCTCCACTGCCGTGGGCAGCCTGTTCCAACACCCTTTCCATGAAAAAATGTTGCCTGATATCCAGCCTAAATCTCCCCTGGCACAGCTTGAGGCCGTTTCGTCTTGTCACTGGTTACCTCAAACTTTAGAGCAGTAAACATCCTCTAAACGGTATTTCCAAGTGCTGGGGCTGCTGTTTGTGTCACACCCTCCTCTTACCCTCGGTTTATAACCCTGCCCAGGTAACCTCTGGGCAGCAGTGGCTGTTGGAGTGATTAACACCTGTGCATGTTGTGCTGGTGGAGGCTCACAGGCTGCTCTGATATGTAATGTCTGAAGTTAGAAATGTTGGTCATTCTCAAAGTGATGGAATCCCAGAATGGTTTGGATGGAAGGGACCTTAAAGTTTATCCCATTCCATGGGCAGGGACACCTTCCACTATCCCAGGTTACTCCAAGCCTGTGGTTCCCAGCTGATGTATCCAATGGAGAACAGAAATACTTTGAAAAAACAGGTATTAGAAAATAGCAGAGTAGACCACGTGGACCCTTTAACATTGTGCTGGAGTTCCGTGGCTTGGTGAACTCCTGGGAAAACATGAACTGTTATCTCAGATGCTGAAACTGCTGAAAATAAGGTATTTCTCCTTTGTGTAAGGAATTTTCTTCCTGCTGTTTCACTGGTGGTTTATCAACGTACTTGTCGAAGTGAAAGCAGTGATCTGGCTGTTCTCTGTCCGGGCTTTCAGTAGGAAAGAACTCTGGGGAGACGTGGGATGGAGACTTCTCTTCTCTTCTGTAAATGCAGAATCATTTCGCCGCCTCCTCTGAGGGAACCAAAGAACAGCAGCGGTGCAGTGTGTTTGAGGGTGTCAGTGTCCCCCTGTCCCTCTCCCAGCTGCACTCGCAGCTCTGAGCTGTTGTGCCCTGGCTGGTGGTGTTCCCTGGGATCCCTTTCCCATGGGGGGCGTGGGGAAGGCTCGGCTGAGCACCCTCACTCCAGCTCCAGGCGGGAATGCCGGATCAGGAGGCAGGGTGGCACACAGCCAGGGCAGGCTGGCCTGGCACTGCTGCAGGAGGGCAGGGCTGGGCAGTGGCTCCTGGCAGGAGATCAGAGGCAGGAGTGGGAGGAAGAAGGAGTCTGTCCCGAGGGGTGGGAGGAAGTGCCTGGCACTGGGTGTGGGTGGGAGCGAGGGGCTGTGTGTCAGGGACAGCCTCAGCACTTCTGTGGCCCTCTGGTGCTGGTTGGTTCATTTGGACTTCACCGAGGGGGACTGAGTCTGGTGCTGACAGTAATTCTTGTCTTTGCGAAGTCATCACTTAAGCCAAGCACTGAGGATACGTTTTACCACCTATTTATTTTGCAAAGAAATGACTGATTTGTACTACATAGGAGAACTGAATGAATTTAGGGACATGGGTTAGTGGTGGTCTTGGCAGGTAACCGGTTACTTGCATTTTACTGTCTCAGAGGGCTTTTTCAACATGAATGATTCTATGAGATTCGAACATAATTATTTAGAATAAATTTCCGCTGGACTCCTACAGGAAAACTAATGATTGACTTTTACACCTTAATAGCTCCCTGTGTTAGTGTTTTAGAACACCTGCAGCAATTCATGTGTGCAGATGTACAAATCTCTGGCTGCTGTTGACGGTTGTTTAGTGGTGATAAGGCTGGTGCACAGAGATGTGGTGAGGGCTGTGGTGCAGTACAGGGTGCCTGGAGCGCCCGGGAGGCTCGGAGTGCTGAGCACACCCAGCTCTGTGCCAGTCCTTGCTGCAGCAGTGCTGAGCTGTTTGCTTTGCACAGGCTCTGGTAGCACTCCCTGCGCCATGGAGAGCGCCGAGGGCACGGAGGAGGAGCAGCCCACCGTGAGCAGCGATGGCACCGAGCCCGGCACAGAGCCCGGCACAGAGCCTGGCACAGAGCCCGGCACAGAGCCCAGCACAGAGCCCGGCACAGAGCCCACCGTCCAGGAGCAGCACATGGACTTCAGCACCGAGATCATGAGTGTCACCGAGATGGAGCAGTCCCCGGACAGCTCCCCGGACCTCAACGAGGAGAGCACGCAGGAGAGTGAAATTCCAAATATTGAGAGTTTGCAGACCACAGACATTGAGGCTGGCTTCCCTCCGGATTTTGACAAGTTCTGGAAAGTGGTAGACGACAATCCCCAGGATTTCACAGGATGGGTATATCTACTCCAGTATGTAGAGCAGGAGGTTAGTACCTGCCCCTTTCTCCTCAGCCTTCCAGAAATAAACAAACCAGACTAAAACAAGTCATGGGCGTCCAGTGGCAAGTGTAGAACTGGACACCGGGCTGTCACAGATGCTGCCTTAAGGCAGCTGCCCTTGCCAGGGTTGTGGCAGAACTGTAAAACCCCAGACTGGTGTGGGTGGGAAGGGACCTTAAAGCCCGTCTTGTTCCACCCCCTGCCTTGGCAGGGATGCCTTCCATAGGCCAGGTTGCTCGGTGTCAGCAGAGATCACAAGACGGTGTTTTAAGGCAGTGTTAATAATTGTGTAAATCGCGGGAGGGTCTGTTGAAAGGAAGGACTGATTGCTGTCCCCGTGCCTTTCCCCCAGAACCACTTGCCGGCGGCCAGGAAGGCCTTTGACAGGTTCTTCACGCACTACCCGTACTGCTACGGGTACTGGAAGAAGTACGCGGACCTGGAGAAGCGGCACGACAACGTGAAGCAGTCTGACGAGGTACGTAGGGCAGCACCACTGCCGGTCCTGCCGCCTGGCACCGGGCTGCCCGTGCCTGCCCCGTGTGTGCCCGTGTCACACTGTGCCGCCCGGAGCTAACCTTCTCTCTCTTTGTTGGCAGGTGCGTTAAACCTCTACAGTTTGTCAAGCTTTGCAGTGCAAGCCTCTGTATTACACTGCAGCTTAACAAGTAGGGCAGGGCTTTTCTGTCACTTCCATTTATTACTCATTTTCAAAGCGATATAGTTGGTTTGCTGGTCACAATTGCTCCATCTTATTGCATTTTTGGTCAGACGCTGTCAATGATGCTCTAATGGGTCTGTGCCCTATGGTCTGTACCCCAAAGCCTGCCCACACAACCTGGTCAGAATGCAGGGACCGCTGCGCTTTGAAGATCAAGACTCTGCACGTGGAGATCAGAACATTGCCATGTTCTATCCAACCTCCACCCGAATGGTAATGGTAGATTATTTAAACAAAATTCCAGTAATTAGTATTTCTAAGGTTCACCGGATAACACAGTGTTGCCTCTCTCTTAGGACACCTCTAAGGATTTGAAGTACAGCTCATGTTCTCTTCGTAGGTGTATCGCCGAGGGCTGCAGGCAATTCCTCTTAGTGTTGATCTCTGGATACATTATATAAATTTCCTAAAGGAGACCTTGGACCCTGCTGATCCCGAAACTAACAGTACCATCCGGGGGTGAGTTGGGAGCAGGCTGGGATCCACGCAGTTACACGGCAGTGGGGGCAGATTAATGTGTTCAGGTCAGGGGAAAACTGATAACAACCTAGTGGTACCTTAAGGACTTCCAGGAGATGATGGAACCCAATTCCATAAGAAGGGGGAGACAGTTCAGTGTGGTACAAGGGGAAAAGTTGTGGCTTGAGAGCTTCAGACTAGGTGTTCAGAAATACTTGGTGCAGCACTGGCACCCATTAGATTTTTGGAATTTAATTCCTTGGAGGTTTCCAGGGGCTAGGATGTGTCTGAGTGCTGTGGCTGGCAGTGGTTAGAGGAAGAGTCTGGACTAAGGTTTGATCAGAAACCTTCCTTGAACAGGAACTGAACCGAGCTGCAGGGTTGCTGCACACCTTTTGGGTGTAAAACTGCTGCAGTAGTGGGTTCAGAGTCTGCACAAAATAGAAGTGGTAAATATTGTGGATTTTCCTAATACCTTGTGTTCCTGCAAGTGGCTTTTGCAGTTGCCTTTATCTGTGCTGTTGTGGTAGTGCTGGAGGGAAAAAAATGAGTGTGAGCTTTCTGACTCTTCAGACTTTGCTACAGATAGCTGAAAAATACTTGGAAGAACCTAAATTATTAATACAAGTGTAGTTCCAAGTAGATGAGGATACTCATCATCTTTAGTAAGAGCCAGAACTTTCCTTTTTTGTTCTGTCACCACATCCGGAAACAAGTGATTTCCTTTTCCAGAGCCTATGAGCATGCAGTCCTGGCTGCTGGGACAGATTTCCGTTCTGACAGACTCTGGGAAATGTATATAAACTGGGAAAATGACCAGGGAAACCTAAGGGAAGTTACCTCCATCTATGACCGCATCCTGGGAATCCCCACGCAGCTCTACAGTCACCACTTCCAGAGGTAAAGGGAAAGCAGAGGCTTGGTTAATGCCATGGATTTCCTAAGCACACCTTAACCTGCCTCTGAGAGGTGGGAATGTTCACTCAAGAACTTGGAAAGGTCACTCAGCTTTATGTAGTTAGTTACTTATGTACTCAGAGGGTTGGGCTGATTGGTTTGAAGTACCGATGCACATTTTAGGAATTGGGTTTTGGGTGAATTCACAGGTTCTGCTGTGGCATAAAGACAGACCTTGGAATTGTGAGGAAGAAGAAGAGGAAGTCTTTGAGAAATCAGAGTGAACAGTTTTGAGCTTTTAATTCCTCATGCAATGCCCACGTGTGGTGAAGCAATAATTAAATTGACCAAAGAGAAATACTAGTCAAGTTTGAGATAGTGGAATTGTGCTTTAGTAGGGAGAGGTGAGCAGGGAGCCAGCGACCTCAGTTAAATTACACAGTCTTACTGTGATTTCTACAGATCTTTTGGTTTGGGAATAAAGTATTTCCCTTATAACTGATCTTGTCCTTTGCCATCTGTGTTCCATGGCAAGGGCTTCCTAAGTCCCCCACGCTGCTGTTTCCCTTTGAAGCCTGCCCCCCTTGTGGTTGGTGTGCTGGCCGTTGTGTGTGCTGTGTGTGTTGGCAGCAGGGGCACTCCTGGTGCTGCTCTGGAGCCACAAAGCAGAACCCCCCTGGATTTATTGCTGTGCCCTGGTCGGGCGGAGTGCGGCACCACGAACTCCAAATTCTGCTGACCTGTTTGTGACTGCCCCCAGGTTTAAAGAGCACATCCAGAACAACCTCCCCCGGGACTTCCTGACCACGGAGCAGTTTGTGCAGCTGCGGCGGGAGCTGGCGGCGGCCAACGGGCACAGCGGGGAGGAGGCACAGCCCGCCGAGGAGCTGCCCTGCGGCACCGAGGACATCACCGACCCCGCCAAGGTACCGCCCCAGCACTGCCCTGCCCGGCCACTGCCCCAGCACTGCCCCCTCCATTCCCCTGCCCCAGCACTGCCCTGCCCCAGCACTGCCCCCGGCTTGGCTGCCAGGGGTCACGGCAGGACTGACAGCACAGGAAGGGAGCCATGCACACAGCTTAGGGGTGAATATTAATTCTTCTGGGTTAACAGATTGGGATGTGGGGTCTGAGCTCATCAGCGGTGCTCTGGGCAGGCTCAGGGCTGTCACAGGCACAGGAAAGCCTGGAGCTGTCTGAAGGAATTGCTGATGAGGAAAACACAGACATGCTGAATCCAAGGTTGACTTGCGTCCAAATTCGTCTTTAATCTCAGATCAGCTTTAGCATTAGATGGAAAACCAATTTAGTTGTGTGTGCCAAGGCTCCATCAGGCATTATCCCAGCCCTTCCTTGGCTGCTCAGGGCAACATTTCATGGGTCTGGGAGGATTCCTGCACACCACCGACACACAGTGCAGTTACAAAGGGGATACTGTGTCTACCTGTGCTACATTCTTCAAAATTCTGTTGCAGCTGGTCACTGAGATAGAGAACATGAGGCACAGAATCATTGAGATCCACCAGGAGATCTTTAACCACAACGAACATGAAGTCAGTAAGAGGTGGACGTTTGAGGAGGCGGTAAGTTGGGGTTTGTGGGAGCCAACGTGAGCAAGAGGTTTGGACACGGGACTGGGAATGAGGTGCAGCAGTTGGGCCTTAACTTAAACTGCTGGGGGCCTTGAACAGACATTCAGAGTTTGAACAGGGTTTCACTTCTCTGCCATTTTTCCTGTGAAGAGGCAGCTGTCAGCTGATTTCAAACCTTTAAGGGGTGTTTGGAAAGAGGCAATGTGGAGAATTGTTTACTGAGCCAGTAAGTCCTGGGAGTTAGTGCTGCCTCATTCCTCTGGGGTGTTGCACAGTCATAAGGGGATGAAGTGATTCCAGTGGAAAGGTAAGCCTGTGCTAAAAGGAGAATGGAATTTGTATGGGTTTGTGTTTTAACATTACACACTGAAATCAGGCAACTTTTGTTTTCCAGCAGTAGCCATCTCAACATGTACCTCCTACATATAATGTATTAAAAGTAGTTAATTAAACTAATCGTTTCATTACAGTAAATATACAGCTTTTTAGATTTAAGCTGGATTACATTTGAAAAAACAACCTGAGGTTTTGATCCTCAGTCTTTATGTTCTTCCTGACAAACATGGTTCTTGTGTTAAATTTGCTTCCTTTTAAAGAGTACATTGTGTAACCCAGTTGGGACAGATTTACAGAGAGTCCTTAATGGGGCAGGTGATGCGAGAACTGGTGGGGGGTTTATTGCACTGGGTTGGACGGGGCCAGGTGCCTCATCAGCCCCAGGAGCTCAAAACCACAGTAGGATCCCATCCTCAGTGACTCGTGTGCCAGTTCCTCGTGGCAGAGGGAGCAGAGCAGGCAGAGCAGCCCTGAGATTCCTGCCTTGGGGAACCTTAAGCTGCAGATTTGTGGAGCTTGGAAAAGAGCTCAGACTGTGGGCTTTGGGCAGGAAATGTGTGAGGAGCTGGGTGTCCTCTTGCTCCTGGCCACCAGCAATGCTTTCCTACCCGCAGAGAGCATCTGCTCTGTAGCACCAGCCTGCTGGGTCTGGGGGGAGCTGGAAATGGGAAGTTCAATGTGTCTTTGTAAAGGACACAAGTGAGGTGGGTTTGCAGAGGTGTCACCAAAGGTTTGGGGACAGCTCAGACCTGTTTTATTTAGCAGGAGCAAGGTGGCTGTGAGCTGGTCAAAATGGCAGGTTGGGTTCTGTAGCAAAGGTCAGCGAGGAGCAGGAGGGGGGGACTGGCTTTAAATTTCAGGTGGCCCTGAAGAACTCCATGTTTCTCCTTGATTATTGTAAGTCCTTCATCCATTTGTGTGGGTTTGGAGGGAGGGAATTGCAGTGCAGGAGAGACATAATCAGGTGGAATTAAAGATGGTGAGGAAGGGCCAAGGATCCCTGGCAAGGTTCCAGACAAAGCCATTTAAATTTAAGCAGAGCAATGTTTAAACTGTCTGTGCTGGGCTCTGTCCCACCATTGTAGCCGTGAATGAGAACATGATCTTGCCAAACTCATGGACTTGGCATAAGTACCTTGATGTAAATGTTGAATGGGAGGTTCAGTTCAGTGCTCTGTCATTCCTTGTAGTGATTCTCAGCCTGGTTTGGAGTTTGATTTGTGGGCTGGCTGTAGGACAGGGAGTACTTTACTTGTATGGGTGGACACTGTTCATAATGTCACTGTTACAGGTTTGCAAGGGATTACCCACACGGGGTTCTTTCCCAGCACCTGTAAACCCTGTCACTCCAAAAGCTTTCTAGAAAAGCCATGTTGCAGTGGGAATCCCCTGTCAGTAAATCCCTGTGTCCACACTGGGGTGGCCCTGCAGTGAGTAGCTGAGGGGGTGTCACCAAAGCCCTGATCATTACGCGGCATTGACTGAGTGCTGTGTGGCTGTTGGGTGTGTGAGTGCCCTGGGTGTGTGTCCCTAAGTCACCTGTTGGTCCTGTGACTCTTGCAGATCAAGAGGCCTTACTTTCATGTAAAACCTCTGGAGAAAATTCAGCTGAAAAACTGGAAAGAGTACTTAGAGTTTGAGATAGAGAATGGCACTCACGAGCGAGTCGTGGTCCTCTTTGAGAGATGTGTCATTTCATGTGCCCTCTATGAGGACTTCTGGATCAAGGTAAGGGAAGCAGCTCACAGCTGTCCTGAGTGCACACCTGACCTGGTGACTAACCCTTGTACCCTGTGGAACGTTGTTCATCTATAACTATATCTGTTGCATTAGGAGATGGTCTGCTTGCAACCAGATTTGACTGCTGCATTTGCCAACTGCGTTGCCTCTCTACGTCCTTCCTTACAGAAACTAGTCTAGTGGTTCCATAAAGGTGCTGAATGGGTTTAAACAAAAGAATTTTATCGTTCTGGCATGTTTTTGGAGGCAAATGCAAGCTTTAAATTGGGCCGTCTCTGCTCTGTTTCCAACTCTAGTATGCCAAATACATGGAGAACCACAGCATCGAGGGCGTGAGGCACGTGTACAGCAGGGCCTGCACCATCCACCTGCCCAAGAAGCCCATGGTGCACATGCTGTGGGCGGCCTTCGAGGAGCAGCAGGGTAAGGGCACCTCAGCCTGGGGAGGGGGGCTGCTCGTGGCAGCCTCTTGGGTCTCTCATGTGTGAAAGCGTCTCCACTGGTGTTGCAGGCAACATTGAGGAGGCCAGGAGGATCCTGAAGACCTTTGAGGAGTGTATCCTGGGGCTGGCCATGATCCGCCTGCGCAGGGTGAGCCTGGAGCGCAGGCACGGCAACATGGAGGAGGCCGAGCTCCTGCTGGAGGACGCTGTCAGGAACGCCAAGTCCATCAGCGAGGCCTCCTTCTATGCCATCAAACTGGCCAGGCACCTCTTCAAAGTGCAGAAGAACCTGCCAAAGGCAAGAAAAGTGCTGTCAGAAGCCATAGAACTTGACAAAGTATGTGTTCCCTCTTGCTATCTTACCAAAAACCCAACCCACCCTGCTGCTTTTCTGTCCCTGAACCGTGTTTTAAATCATGGCAACGGTGATGACAGGAGTTGTAACTGTATGGAATGTCCCATTACTGCATGGAGACAACAGTCCCTCTAAACTGATGTTGCCACGTTCCCAAATCTGAAGTTTGCACTCTTCTCTCCCATCAGAAGCACAATGTGCTTCATCCCCTCGTCTTCCTTCTCAGTATCTTGGATGTTATCAGTGTGTTCACCCCTCAAGGTGAACAGAGTTGGGGGGCAGTACTTGGGGGTGGTTTTGTGTAAGCACGGGAGTACCTGGCACTGCAGGTCCTGTGAGCAAAGTGCCACACCTGGGCTTGTGCTGTAGATCACCTGTGGTTGTCTGTGACACAAACCAGCCCAGGGGGAAAGGGAAGGCTCTTCACTGCCTGTTGTCGTGTGTATCTGTGGTGTGGATGTTGTGGTGAGTGCCTGGTAACACACACTGAGTGTGGAACACCTGCTGGGCCAGGTGTGCACCTTCTGACACGCCCTTTGCACAGGAAAACACCAAACTGTACCTGAACCTGCTGGAGATGGAGTACAGTGGGGACCTGAAGCAGAACGAGGAGAACATCCTGAGCTGCTTTGACAAGGCTGTCCACGGAGCCTTGTCTATCAAAATGAGGATCACCTTCTCCCAGAGAAAAGTGGAGTTCCTGGAAGATTTTGGGTCTGACGTGAACAAGTAAGATGTGCTGTGTGCAGTGGGGTCACTGAGAGTGCTGGGAGGAGTTGGGCAGGGGTGGGTTGGTGGCATCTGTTAATGTGGTTTCCTTTGTGCTCTTGGCTAAGGAACAGCTGCTCTTCTAAACCAAATTCCAGGTTTTAAATAGGAATAGATTTTTGAATAGGAATAAATTTTTAAACAGGAATCTCTTTTCAGAAAATTATCCTTTCTTTCCTGCAATGCCCAACAGCTCATAAGGCAAGGTGTTACTGCCTGCCAGGTCTTGCTGTGGTTTCCCCTTGCTAAGGCTGTACAGGCAGGTGGTCCCCAAAGGGGAGGTGACATGTCTGTGACCCAGGTGTCGGTTGAGACTCCTCCCTGGGAGCTGCTGCTTGAGGTTTCCAGAACTGCACAGGTGGGGTATTTCCAGTTCAGCCCTATTTACACTCACATGGGAGGATACACCAGCAGTGCATGTTTTTAATTCAATACTACACAGACTTTGTCCTCTCCATTCTCTGTTGTAAAACAAGCTCCTGGTTTTATTTACATTTTGCAGCTCATCAGGACTAACCATGAGTAAAGTTTTTCTGCTCTGTATGTTTTTAACAGCAGCTGTCCTTAAATCCTGCTGCCTCTGCATGGCAGCCAGTCACTGCAGGTTTGGGATCCAGGACAGACCAGCCCCAAGGAGCTTTGCAGCTCCCAAATAACCCCAGAGCACAGACTGAGCACAGGACACTGTTTTCACCCAGAGCACTATTGACAGAAGCAGCAGGTTTTGTGTGAAAAGCTGGATGCAGCAGAGGAAAGGGTATCTATTTGTGGGAATTTTAGCCAGGACTGTTTTGTGCAGCATTGAACATACTTGTTCTTCCCATGCTGGATAAGAAAAGGCTGGAGGTGCTACTCTGGGATTGGAATAATTTTGCATACTACTAATATCTGATATTGAAATGTTAATTCCCAAATCTCAGTCCTGCCGTGGATCATGAGCAGGCACTGAAGGAGCAGCAGAATCACAAGTAACTTCTGGAAACCCTCTCCTTTATAAAGGAACTTCATAAAAACTGCATCAAGTGTGAGGAACAAATCTGAGCTGCTGTGGAACCAAACTGAGCCTTTTGGCTTTCCCATCTCGTGGTGGATCACTCGTTAAAATTTATGGTGGGGTTTGGTTTAGGATGTTGTACTTTTACAGTTTCAAGGAGAGATTTTAGGCTGATTGCTCAGGGGTGGGAATGTTTTGGTGACACTGGTGAGCAGGGTTTGATCCCCCTGTCCCCCCAGGCTCCTGGACGCTTATGATGAACACCAGGCACTGCTGAAGGAGCAGGAGACGCTGAAGAGACGGGCGGAGAACGGGTAGGGGGGACAGCCCTGGGGACAGCACACACTGGGACACCCCTGGGGGGCACACACACCTGGGGACACCCCTTGGGACACCCCTGGGGACACTCCCTGGGGACAATTTACAGACTGTGACACCCCTGGGGGACACACACCCCAGGCTGCAGCTGGGACACAGCAATGTGGGAGTGCCCTGGAAGAGTCCAGGGAACAGCCTCAGACCCTGGGAGTTTATTTAGTCTCTAAATGGATATAGAGGTATTTTGGGGCTTTAACCCCACTGGTGCAAGAACAAAATCACTTCTTTAAATCATTCGAAGTGTGCACTAAATAGAACTGTGCTGCTGGATTAACTATTCACAGAGTCATGGAATGGAACCTTAAAGCCCCTCCAGTGCCACCCCTGCCATGGGCAGGGACACCTTCCACTGTCCCAGGTTGCTCCAAGCCCCGTCCAACCTGGCCTTGGACACTCCCAGGATGGAAACATTTATTGGAACATAACTTTTTGGGTTGTATTTGACAGGAGCGGTGACCAGGGCTGGTAAATAACTCTTCCCTAAGCAGAAACCTGCATTGCTCTCAGTGTGGGGAGCAGAAGGATTTAAAGCCAGGCTGTTCTGAGGCACCACTGCCCTTCCCTGAACAATCCCATCTCCCTGCCTGGACAGGGCACCCAGCGGGGCAGTGCTGTTCAATGTGATCTAACGCTTCTCACACGGAGAGTTCCCCAGTTTATCCAGGGTGCCAATTCCAAGCTGTTTTCCCCCCCAGCTCCGAGGAGCCGGACGAGAAGAAGATGCTGACGGAGGACCCGTCACTGGCGTCGGCGCAGCTGATGGACGGGGACATGCAGGTGAACCAGGCGGCCTACAACTACAACGCCTGGTACCAGGTACGCCGGGAACGCCTCTGCCCGGGCAGGGGCAGGGAAGGCCAGGGGAAGATGGAGCTCCCTGTTCCTCTGAGGCATTTCAGTGGGGAATAGAATGGCTGAGGCTGGACCAACCAGCCCAGCACTGCCAAGGCCACACTAACCCATGTCCCCACGTGCCACAGCCACGTGTCTTTCGTAGCCATGGAGGTTTTACTGGGGTGGTTCAATGAAAGCTGGTGTTTAGACTGGGCAGAGCAGGGAGGAGCTGAGGCACAAACCACCAGCCCTGGGGTAGCCGTGGTTTGGGAGTGCGTCGGATGCCTAAATCCCACTGAGGTCCAGCGCCCTTCCTAGAGTCTCATCCAGCCTGGAAACTGTCCAGCACTAGGCAGGAAAAATGCCCCAGATATTTACACACAGAACTGCAGGAATGGCACCCTTGGAGCTGTGCCAGGGCAGGGTCAGGTTGGATCTCAGGACAAGGTGTTGTTGGGGTGTCCTGGGCAGGGCAGGAGTTGGACTGGATGGTCCTTGGGGTCCCTTCCAGCTCAGGGCATTCCGTGATCAGTGCAATCACAAATCCCTGCCTGCCTTCCACGTCCTGCTGCAGGAAGCAGACAAACCCCTCCTGAGGGAACGGGGCAGTTCCTCATTGCCAAGGGTGCCCAGCTGGGAGCAGTGGGAGCTGTGTGGGGTGGTCTGTGTGGCTCAGGGACACTGAGCCTCTCCCGCTGTGTTTGCAGTACAACTACCAGAACGCCTGGAATTACGGACAGTATTACCACACCAGCTGAGCCAGAGGGCACTGCGCTGCACCTTCGACAGAGATGGAATTAAAAAAAAAAATATATTTTTCTAACTTTGGGCTGTGAAAGAACTGTTGTGCCACCTGCTGCGGGTCCTCTGCATGTGACCCGAGCTGCTGCTCACGGGTACGTGTGAAGAGTTGTGTGCTGGTAACCGATAAATGGTCTCTGTACAATTCTCATTTACCATAAATGCATTTTTTTAATTCCCTGCACTAATTTATGGAGCTTTTGGAGGAATTCCCGTTGGTCCTACGTTTCCATAGATTGGGTGGGTGAAGCTGGGGCTGTTTGGGTTGGTTTTGCCCCAAAGCCGGAGCCAAGGCCGTCCTGCTCCCACCCCAACTGGCAGCACAGCTTTGCCAAGGCGGGCGCTGTGCTGGGATTGACCCCGGAGCGGGGCTGGAGGCCTTGGCAGAGCTGTGGGGTCAGGAGTTCACTGTGGGGCAAAACCCCCTTGGTTCTTTTCTAAAAAGCACAAACTGTGTTTGGGATGACTTTTGTATTTGGAGTTTTTCATGTACACGGTGTGAGCAAAACTTTTTTCATTTTGATCAAAGTGATCATTCCCATTTTTGTAATAAAAACAAGGAATTCAGCAGCGCTCTGAGCCTTCTTGGATTGCCTCGGTCGAGCCAGGAGCAGAACAGTGGTGTTCCGAGGAAGGGCTGTGGCACACGGATGCCTTGGGAACGCCTGGATCTCTGGGAGCAGAGTGCCTGACACTGGTATGGAGTGGGAATGCTGTGGAATTCCACAGGAGGTACTGCTGGATCCCTGTGGCCCTGCAGCCCCGCCAGGGGAGGGTGGGGGAGCTCAGACACAAAGAAGGGACGGCACTGCAGGTACAAACTGGTTTAGTGGGGTGTCACTGTACAGAGGGGCAGGGACAGCGCTCCATTTCCGCAGGGCCAGGCTGGAACTGGATCCCGGAGTTCCAGTGCCAGTCCCTGGGTTCCCAGCAGCAAAGGGAATTCACTCCTCACTCGATGTCCACCAGCTCCACTTCGAAGAAGAGCTTTGCATTCGGGGGAATTCTGGGGGAGCACATTAAGGAAGCCTAAAACATCCCAAATCCCGCAGTTCCCACGTCCCTCCCTGGGCAGTCACAGCTGCTCTCCTGCCTCTCCTGTATCCAGGTGATGTCACTGACCTTGGGACATCCTGGATCCAGCACTGGGCCCAGCACGAGCTGTCAGGGACATGCAGGGCCAGTTCCATGGATACACCTCCATTAACACATCCTGCTCCTCATTCCCTAAGCCTGGTCCCCAGGTCTGGGAGTTGCAGGAGTGGTTACTCTGTCCTGCTGTGCTGCAGGGAGGAACAATGTCCAGGCAGCCCTTGGGATTACAGCATTCCAGCACCACAGAACAATCCCTTCCTCCCAAAGCACTGGAAAAAGAAATGACTGTGTAAAACACTGCAGGATCCCACCTCCATCCCATACTCCAGTGGTATCCCAGAACCAAATTTAACTGCTGTTACCCTACTGGTAACTCCTCCTGCTTCCCTACTCCACTGGTTTGTATCCCTGTCAGTAATAACCATTTGGAAGCAGCTGGACTGAAAATGCAGGTGGAAAACAGCGGCAAGTTCTCCCTGCACAGGGTTTACTTCCAAACAAAAGGACAATCCCACCCACTCTCCAAGTGCACTGAATTTCCTCAGAGTGGGAATATTCTGAGCCTGCTGTAACGAGTGACCCCCCCATTACATCCCTGTCCCAGCACTTCCCCTCACCCAGCATTCCCAGGTTTCTGTACAAGGATACTTGGCATCAGGCTGCCCCTTCTTGCCGTAGGCCCACTCGGGCTCGATTTCCAGCTGGGCCTTCTCTCCTTTGCTCATGGTCAGCAGGGCTTCATCCCACTGCAAGGACAGCACAGCAGGGTGTCACAACAGCTGCATTCCCAGCCTCTCCACCTGCTCCTAGGGATTCCCACCAGTCCCACACCTCCACTGTCCCAGGCTGCTCCAAGCCCCGTCCAACCTGGCCTCGGGCAGTGCCAGGGATGGGGCAGCCCAGCGCCCCTGGCAGCCTGGATCAGTGGATCCATGTGTGTCCAAGGCTGGCCCAAACCCGGATTCACTCAGTGCCTGTCCCTGCCCAGAGTCCCCACCAGCGGCTCCTGCAGCACCAGATCCCAGGGAGACACAGATAAAGCTGGGCAGCTGCAGCTCCTGCAGTGCTGGACTCGGGCCAGGGGCACGGCCCCTTCCCAGTGCCAGTCCCAGCCCTCAGGGAGGGGGTCAGGCTCTGCTCCCAGGGAACAGGGACAGGAGGAGAGGAACCCCACAGCCTCAGAGCAGGAGAGTGACAGGAGCAGGAGGCTGGGCCTGCCCTCAGGAACACGGCTCTGTTTTCCACCCGCTGCTCTCCAGGGCAATGACACGGGATAATGGTACCTCCTGCCCATGTAAGCCCTCGTAATCTGCATTTTTACCTCTGAGGAACAGAACAGCAGCTCAAAAGCTGAACCCCGGTCATAAATGACAGGGAAGGGAACTCCTTTGGAATTCTGAGGGAGCTGTCAATGCTGTACTTACGCCTCGGATCACTTTTCCTACGCCAACCTTGAAACTCAAGGGCTTGGCTGCTTTTTTCTTCTTTGAGCCTGGAAGAGAGTTTGGTGTTGCTTTGCTTTAGCATCACTGCAGCACACACCACACTGCTGGCTACAATTACCAGCATATAAATATATATGCTAAGTAAATATTTTCTTATAATTTTATTACAATATTATTTTAATATTCAGTGCTGTGCACCAAAGCCATCATTCACTGGTCAAGCTCCACCGAGAGCTAAAGCTGATGAGCATCTTTCAAGCCCCAAAGACTCATTTCTGAATTCATAAAGTTGACAGAACAAGTCACAAACACATTAAGGGACCACAAGAAGTCAACAGGGAACATACAACAAGTACAAGGAGTCCCAGACAGCATTCCACTGACTCTGGAATACTGTTCCTTTGAGTGTGGGACACACTCTGGAAAAGCCTTTCTAGTATTGCAAGATTTCATACCCCTAAATCCTCTGATCTGTCACAAAAACACCATAGTACTCAAATCCCTCTCATTCCAGTGCCTCCATGTTTAAGGATTTATTAGAGAAGGACACTGCTGGTGCTCGAGTTCCATAGGAGAGGGAAGCTCCATCTCTCACCCTCAAGTATTTTCAGCCCTGGTTAACTCCCTGCATTTCACATTCCCAGGCCTGGAGAATGCCAGAAGGGAGGGCTGGCAGGATGCAGCAGTGTGACTTGACACCAGCCAGTCCTAAAATACTGCCCTGCCTTACCTCATGGAAAATCAGGACCCGGGAGGGGGCTCAGGGACATCCCGGCAGCTCAACAACAAAGTGGTTTGTCAGGAATCCCACAGGGACACTTCCCGAGGCAAACACTGCCCAAATCTGCTTAAGGAGCCCAGCTAATGCAGTCTACGAGTGTCTGCAGCAAACCCCAAACAGTTCCTCTGTATCCATCTATGCATGACCTTACTTGATTGAATATTGGTATCGAAGACTGTCCCGTCCTGCAGCTTTCCCGTGTACCAGCAATGCACAGTGTCTCCTTTCTTCGGGAAGTTGGTTTTGTCGCCCTTCTTTAAAATGGATTTTGTATACTTTGGTGGCCCCTGAGGTTGTAAAAATAAGAGTTAGGACTGGTGGGTTAAATAGCTTCATATCAATTACATTTTAGATGGAATAAGCGCTTAGTTTAAGGCATCAAAGACCTGCAAAGGGTGTGTTCATGTGTTACTGCAGGGCTGGGATGTACGGGGAAAATGCAGCAGATGAAGGTTAAGGCAGGGTGCAAACACCAGAGTTCTTGCTGTAACCGTGATTTTGGAGAACCCTGGGTTGGAAGGGACCCACAAGGATCATCCAGTCCAACCCCTGGACACCCCAAGAGTCACACCCTGTGCCTGAGAGGATCATCCAAACCCTCCTGGAGCTCTGGCAGCCTTGGGGCCGTGCCCACTGCCCTGGGGAGCCCGTTCAGTGCCCAACCACCCTCTGGGGGAAGAACTTTTCCTTGATACCCAACCTAACCCTCAACCGGAGATAGGGGACGCGGTTAATTTGGTTTCCCACACGGCAAGCACGAGGTGGGAGTGTCGCACAAACCTCCTCCACAGCCTCCTCAGCCTTCACCGCCTTCCCCTTGGCCTCCTCCGCCTTGGCCGGCTTCGCCTTCTCCGCCGCCTTCTCCGCGCCGTCCGTGCCCTTGAACCGCTGAGGGGGAGCACGAAGAGCCACATCCATCAACCATCAAACCCCACAGGACCCGCGCCCCATCTCTATTCCCACCTCCTCGCCCCCTCACCTGCGTGTGGAAAAGCTGCGTGTAAGCCGCGATGAGCTGCTCCTTATTCGCCGTCTTGGCCACGTTCTTCACCTGCCCCAGCAGCTTGTGCTCCGCCAGGAACTGCCGGGGACACAACGCGTGCGAGCCGTGAAACACACCCCCCTCTACCTCTATAAACACACGTGTTCGCGCTCCAAACCGCTAATTTCCCCACAAACTCACCGCCTGCGCCGCGTGCTCCTGCAGGAATTTGATGATCTCCTTCTTGGCCAGCGCCTCGCTCCGCAGCTCCTCGGCGCTCCAGGGCTGCGCGGGACCGGCGGCCGCCGCCATTTTGCCCACCCCGCCTCCTACTCCTTCTACTCCTCCTCCTCCTCCGAAGAGGAGGGATGGGAAACCGTCCGGGGAGGGGAAGGGAGGGAGGCGAGGAGGGGGAAGGCCAGGAAAACGCCCGGGGAGAAGGGGAGGGCCGGGAGGCGCATCCCGACCCTCCCCTTGGCCCGCGGGCGGAGGAGGCTCCTGAGGGAGGGACAAAATGGCGCCGCCTCAGGGCTGGGGGGAAACGCCCTGAGGGAGAAGAGAGGCGGGAGGAGCAGCGGGCTTTACCTCAGGCCGCCCGAGGGGGAAAGGGCGGGCCAGGAACCCTCCGAGGGAGAAGGGGAGGGCCGGGAGGCGGCCAAGCCGCCTCCCGTCCCTCCCCTTCACCCTCGGCGGCGTTTTCAAGCGGCGGCGCTGAAGGAGCGACAAAATGGCGGCCCCTGAGGGAGGAGGATGAGCGGCGGGCGGCAGCGCACTTTGCCTCAGATCTGGCGGGCGCCCCAGGGCAGAACCGAAGGAGAGGGCGCGGGCGACGACAGCGACGATGACCTACTGCTGGCAGCCGCCGCCGCGGCGGACCCCGTCCCCGTGGAGGGCTTCAGCGAGGCGGCGGGGTCCATCTGGATCTACCCCACCAACCTGCCGGTGCGGCCGTACCAGGAGCGCATGGCGGGCGCCGCGCTGCTGGCCAACACCCTGGTGTGCCTGCCCACGGGGCTGGGCAAGACCTTCGTGGCCGCCGTGGTCATGTATAACTTCTACCGCTGGTTCCCCTCCGGCAAGGTGCTGTTCCTCGCCCCGACCAAGCCGCTGGTGGCTCAGCAGATGGAGGCGTGCGCCCGGGTCATGGGCATCCCCTCACGGGACATGGCGGAGATGACAGGTACGGGCTGCGGCGGCATCCAGGAGGGATTGAAGGGCAGAGTGTGAAGAGAGGGAATAAAAAGAGGTGGTTGGAAATAAAGAGGGCTAAGCGTTGGTTCTGGCGGTAGTTAAAGCCCCGGGTCACCTGGGTAAAAGGGTGGTGGAGCGCTGCGGCGCAGCCCTGTGGGTCGCAGCCTGGCGGGTGTTCACACACAATGTGCTCTACGTGAAGCTTAAGCTAAAGAATAATAGCTCTTTTTCCTTTTTTTCCTTTTTTTTTTTTTTGTTTTTCCCTCCCCTTTCCCCCTCCCTTTTTTCCTTTCCTACCCCCGTTTTCTTTCCCCTCCCCTTTCCACGTTCCCCTCTCCCCTCCCTCTTTCCGCATTTTTCCTTTTTGCCCCTTTTTATAAAGTTTTTACAGACAGCCCTCTCCTCCCAGCTACAGCTCGCTGCACCTATAGCCTTAATGACCGAATCCATGAGCTGTTTTTAGGCACAAACGTTTCCCAGAGATGTCGTAGATGAGGTTTAGAGCTGTGGGGCATCTTGAGCTTCCCAGCCTTGATTTCCGTGGTTCTGGATTTAGTGTTTTAATGCAAGAAACTCTTCCTCGTTGTTGTGTTCAGTGAGGGTGGGCAGGCCCTGGCACAGGTTGCCCAGAGAAGCTGTGGCTGCCCCTGGATCCCTGGGAGTGTCCAAGGCCAGGTTGGAGCAACCTGGGCTGGTGGAAGGTGTCCCTGCCCATGGCAGGGGTGGCACTGGATGAGCTTTGAGGTCCCTCCCAACCCAACCCATCCTGGGATTCCCTGTGTCTGCCAGCCCTGCTGGCTTCTGCTGTCACTCTCAGGTCATGGGCTGTGCTTTGCTCTCAGCAGAACAGCTCCCTGATGTCATTTCCTTTATTTCCAGGAGGAACCCAAGCTCTGGGCCGCCGGGAACTGTGGAATACCAAGAGAGTGCTTTTCCTTACCCCTCAGATAATGGTCAATGACCTGTCTCGGGGCACCTGTCCCGCTGTGGACATTAAATGTTTGGTTATTGATGAAGCCCACAAAGCCCTGGGGAATCATGCCTACTGCCAGGTAATGCTGGAGTCCCCCCTTTTTCTCTCCTAGTGACAAAAACACTCCCCCAAATCACTCCATAAAGTGTCACTGTTACTGCTGCGGGGAGGTTGTTCTTGAGGTCCTTAACTTTGAAAGAGATCAAACACTCCTGTACATTGTCAGGTTTTAAGTAATACCTGTAAGGAATTTTTTTCATGTCTGAATTGTTATTTCTGTTTCAAAATATCTTTTTGACTGAGGCAATTAAAAAGAAATAAAAGCTTTATTTGTAAGGTTCTTTAACTGAGTAAAATCAGTTCAAGTTTTGTTTTTAAAACTGAGGTTTGTGTTGATCAACAAAGACTTTGTGTTATCGTGGGTTAATCTCAGCAATGGGTGATCTCAAAAGTAAATTTTATATACTGGAGAAATTGACTGGATTATGTGTATTAATACATGTCGAGTTCAGATTTCATAGGACTTATTATCCATGATTCACTTTTTTTTAGAGTTGTTCTTCAGGCTTCTTGGCAGCTCTCCTGAGTTAGTGTGCTGTTAATCTTTCTGTGAAATCAAGTGAGAAATCACTTCATAATTTACCAAGGTTGTTCTTGGTACACTTCCAGGATGTCCCATCCCTGGAAGTGCTCCAGTCCAGGTTGGACGGGGCTTGGAGCACCCTGGGCTGGTGGAAGGTGTCCCTGCCCATGGCAGGGGGTGCAATGGGGTGATCTTTAATGTCCCTTCCAACCCAAACCATACTGTGATTCTATGATTGAATATTTTCAGAGTGTTTTGTTAAGCCTTTCCTTCTTAGTGGGTATTTTCCTTGGTATAGTTTGTGTAAGGAAATAATCTCCTTTGAAGGTATTAACAGAAACTTCCCTTTGGTAGGTTGTGAGGGAACTGAGCAAATACACCAGCCAGTTTCGGATCCTGGCCCTGAGTGCCACCCCAGGCAGTGACACAAAGGTGAGCCAGCTCCACTTGTGTGGTTCAGATGATCAAACTGCAGTAGTAACTGTGTTTAATACCAGTTTGGACACTGTGCAAGGTATAGGGATGTTAAAGTTCCACATCAAAACTGAATATGTTTGTGGTCTTGGCTCTTTCCTTAAGGTCTCTAAGTGGAGGGCTCTTGTTTTCCCTCATGGGCAGTGGGTACCTTTCCTTACAAATGTATTCAAGCCCTGCTAAACTGTGAAATAGTAATGTTTGTCTTGCCTCTCTGCCAGGCTGTGCAGCAGGTTATCTCCAACTTACTGATCGCTCGGATAGAGGTGTGTGCTGAGGATTCCCCGGAAATCCAGCCTTATTCTCACGAGAGACTAGTGGAAAAAATTGTAGTTCCACTTGGGGAAGAGCTGGCAGGAATTCAGAACACTTACATCCAGGTGAGTTTGTTTTCTCTTTGCTGGTCAAGGCCAGTGACAGAAAATACATGAATATCTCTGCCTAGGCTTGCAGTAGTTAATAAAAACAACACCTTCCTATGCAATTCAGTTTGAGCATAAGGCAAAATAAAAACTCCATGGTTTCAACTCCACCTGTGACCTTGCAGCAACTCAAATAGTTCAGGTGAAAAACTGAGAATGAAATTAGTTTCCTCATCCTTTTTCAGGAGTCTCTGCAGAACTGACATCGGACTTAAGCTGAGGGTTTCTGCATTTGGCTGAATTTAGTAGTATTAAAGTATTCAGATGTTGGGAATGCCTTATGAAATCTGTATGTGGATTTTCTGAAACATTTTCTCTGCTGGAGAGTATTCTTTAGGGCTTTAAGTCATCTGTAAGTGTAATTACTTCCCTTGATTATTTTTGATCTTGTTTGTTTGTTTGGGGTGGGTTGTTGGGTTTTTTTGGGTTTGTTTTTTGTTTGTTTATTTTGTTTTGTTTGATTATTCTGAGAGCTTTACCCTTTTTCTTTTTTTCCTTCTTTTTTTTATTTTTTTTTAACCAATCTGTAATGTTCAAATATAGAAGAGATTTTCAGGCAAATGGTATTACATAAGATACAGCTCTGAAAAGTTCAAAATGTATACTCTGTGTTTGGTAAGAGGCATCAAAACCCTAGGATTAATTTAGTATGAGGCTGTTGGCCTCAGAGAGTGGTTTTGCTTAAACTTTAATGATTTTGGTGTAGTTATGTGGAGACCACTGGAAGGCAAACTTGTAAGTGCATCAGCTGTTTTCAAACCAGTGACCTGAGAGCTGTTTAAATGAGGAAGTTCCACTCATAAGCTCTAAAGAGAAACTTTAAGGATAGTTTTACATCACTGCAGGTGCCTCTGAGTGCTCTGGGGAGTGCAGGGATTTATTTTGAGGTGCTTCACTTGAGATCTGTTTGGCTGCACAAACCTTGCCCTGTGGCTTCAGTGGTTACTGTTTCCTTGCTTTGATCCGGTATTTGCATTTGAATTGCTACTGATTTTCTTAGAAAATACAATTTGTAGCAAGGCAGAGGGTGTGAAAGGGTGGTTTGTATTGTCTGGACAAGCCAAGCCTTAGTCTTGGAGGCCTCAGCACTTCGGGAAGTGGCTCCTGGACCTCAAAGTGACCATTTCTAATCTGGGCCTTAGGTGGCCTTGGTAAAACCCCAGCAGCAGCTCGTGCCTCCTGCTGCTCCCACCCAAAGGAACCTGTGTGTCTGCTCCAAGAGTGAGAGCCAGGGCTACTCTGCACCAGGAAATCAGAGTCTTTAATGCTGGCAAACAGGGCAGTAAACAAGACGGCATTTCAGGGGAAAGGAGGGACAGTGTCGAACAGCACAGCAAACCAATGCCAGAGAAACTCTGTTCATGTGTGTTTACATACAATAAGCAAGGCCCTGAGTATCACAATAGCTGGAATAAACATTTCAGGCACTAATGCTTGTTTGGAAAATACACAGTATGCAGGACAACACTCATCTGTTAAGGCTACATCATTTAATCTTCCAAAAATGAGGGTGAATGCTGTTTTATTACCTCCTTTGAAGAGTGGAAATCTAATAGCTTCAAATTAAAAATAAAAATCTGTGAGTGGCTTCCAAAGGAAGAGCCACGGATGGATAATAAAATACCTGTTCCCAGGTGATCACCCTTGACGTGATGTTTGGAAATTTGAGTCACAGTAATTAATGTTTGCTTGGCATTCACTGCTGTAACAACTCCATAAGCCTTGTTTTGTGCCAGTTAAAAGCTGGAGTTCTTGGTCCCTGTGCTCGTGAGGGCCGGTTACAGCCCTGTTGCACGTTCCACAGCCATAGAGTGTATCTTCAAACGGCAGGTTGAGTAGTTTTGTCAGCAGCAGAAGCCCTAACACAGTCAAAATAAATAAATACTACTGGCAGAAACACCAGGGAACGCTTGGCTGCGATGGGGGATCAGCACACAGGTCAGCTGCTCGTGTCTCAGGGACAGGGATGTGTCCAGGACGAGCAGCTGAGTCACAGCAGGGCTGGGGCTGCCTGTGGGAAGGGACAGCAGACACAGCACAAAAGTGCTTTTTGCAGCAGAGGGTTAAAATGTAAACTATGTACAAACTGGTGCTGTATGGTGGGAGGATTTCACTGCTTCCAAGGACTGTTCAGCATCTGCTGTGCCAAAGCGTTAAGATAATTTGTCTAACTGGCAAAAGCAGTCAGATTGCAGAAATCTCTTTAATTTGGCATCAAATCTTGCCAAAGGGGAAAATTATTTGTATTTGCTCTTTTAAAAATCTTGGGGATGGGGAGGTGGGAAGGGTTGAGGGCAAGACCTTCCTCCCTGGGCCTTCTATTCAACTGAATTTTTAAAAGCTTTTTATTGTTTTTTGTTAACTAAGAGCTTTTAGTGTAATACTGGCTGGCATTTTTTAATTTTCCATTTCCCAGGCTGAGATCCTTCATTGCATTTTTGTTGATTTGGGTTTTTTTTTTTCCTTCCTACGAGGACTGTTGGTTTGATTGTGTTAAAACTAAGGCTTTTCTCTCTCTTTTTATTTTCTTTTTCCATTTTCCCCTCTCCTTGCTGTGTCCCAAGGATCTCTGTGCCCAGCAAGCACCAGAGGAACCTTGGTCCCACTTAAGCCAGGGCCACTGCACTCTGATCCTGCTGCTCAGGGAGAGGCTTTGGGTTAAGCTTAAAGCCAGTGGCACCAGGAGGCTTCAGGTTCTTCCAGAAGTACTCCATAAATCCATGCCTGGAGTTTTTTCACTCTGCTGGGAGTTAGCAGCACTGGCTCTGGTTGCTGGTCTGTAGGTTGTGATTAAAGAGCACAGAAGCTCTGTTTAAACCCTAAATCCTGCAATCAATAAATAATGCTGGTGATGTACTCCGTAAATTTTATATAAAAAGACACTTCTATTAAGCATAAACTCTACCATCACATCAGTAGGGGGAGACATTCAGGAGGGATTTTTTGAGAGCAAAACTGTTTGCTAACCCACTTCTAAAGTGCAGTAGGTGCTCTTGGACTGTGTGAAACAGTGGGAATGCTGCTCTCAGCCCTTCTGCCAGGCAGGCAGCTGTCTGTCTGTAGGATTATCCTATGGGTGAAGGGCAAAAGAAACCAGAAACTGGGAATCAGGAAGAGAAAATTCTCACAGTGAGGATGGTCAAACTGCAACAGGGCCCAGAGGGGCTGTGGGCTCCTCATCCCTGGAGCTGCTCGAACTCCAGCTGTGGGAGACCCAGAGCAGCCAGCTCTGCCTGGCCCTCCTCTCTGCAGAGGTGACAGCCAGAGGTCACTTCTGGCTGGGATTTTTAATGTGATATTTGTGTCATTTATTACATTAATGGTGTGGCAAAAGGACTGAGCAAATTAATTACTTCACTGCAGTGTTTTGACATCCAGCAAAGTGGTGAGAAAAGTGCTGAGAAAACTGGAGTCAAAAATAACCAGCAGCTATTTAGGAATGCCAAAGACAGTCACAGTATTCCTGGGAGTGCGGGATTAAGGTTACCTGTAACTTTTGCCATCAAAACCTCAATGAGCATTAGGACTGTGGTGCCTTTTTGGTCTCTTCTCCAGTCTTAAGGTCCTTTGGTTGGGTGCTTTGTGAGGTAAGCATTAGGAATCTGTGTCATGGATGAGGACATCCGGAGCAGTCGGCATTGGCCTGCTCTGACTCCTTGGGTCAATCCCAGGGGGCTAAATCGGGTAGTTCTCTTCAGGAACTATGACCTGGACATTCTTTTTCTGCATGTTGAGGTGGGTTTGGTGTGTTCCCACTGAAAGCCCCAGTGGGGTCTTGGTGCAGCACCAGGTGCCCAGAGCAGGAGCTCCAAGGTCTCCCCAGGGACCATCCCAAGCCACAAGCAGTCTAGGGATGCCAGTAAGTGGCTGAGGGGAGAGGTCTCTGCCTGCCTTATCTTGTAAACAGAAGATAAGGTGAACTAACTTATAAAGTGCTAAAACTCTCATTGAAATCATGTAGAGACTGTCCAGGTTGACACAGGGGACTGTGCTTGGGGTGGCTTGGGTGTGGTGGCTGAGCTGGGGGATTGCCTCCCTAGAGGGGCTCCGAGCCCCGGTGCTGACCTGGGGCTGTGCAGGCAGTGTGGGCCTGGGGCTGAGCAGGGCTGGGCAGGCAGCAACCAGCAGATCTGGTTCCTCAGGGCCGCTGCAGGAACCAGATCTCGTTGTGGCGGTTGGCGGCGGCAGGGTTGGTGTAGCCGGCGATGATGAAGGTGTCCTGCAGGCACAGCTCGGGGCTCTCCAGGATGGCTGCCAGCACGCTGATCTCTCTCATGATCGAGTCTTCGTTGGTGATGCCCCTGAAGCTCCTGCAACAATCGGCTCCACGTCAGGTTCTTTTTAACATCCAGTTTTTTGGAGCCTTTTACATGCTTTGGTTGTGCTTCCCCAGTGATACTGTGACAGATCTTAGCTTTGTCCCTGCCATGTTGGGTGCTTTGCTCCCAGCTACACAGAATACCCTGATGCTGTCTTATACACATTTGCAGATGCATCAGTATACCAATTAATTCATAGGGTCGTGGAATGGACCCACAAGGATCACCCAGTCCAACCCCTGGCCCTGCAGACACCCCAGCAATCCCCCCCATCCCTCAGAGCGTTGTCCAAACCCTCCTGCAGCTCTGGCAGCCTTGGGGCCGTGCCCACTGCCCTGGGGAGCCTGTTCAGTGCCAACCTCCCTCTGGGGGAAGAGCCTTTGTCTCACAGAAATGGGGAACCATTATTTCCAGGCAGTTTTTACAAGTTTTGCCTTTGTTACCGTTTATAACTGGGTTTAAAAGATGTGGCCTGCCCCGAGTTGAGAGGTGCACGTTCTCCCTGGTGCCCCAGAGCAGCGCTGAGCCGTGTCTGACCTGCTGTAGACGATGGTGGAGGGCCACTCCTCGATGATGATGTCCGAGTCGAAGGGGTGTGGTGGCTCGTCCTGCAGCACCTCGGGCAGGTAGTAGGCGACAGTCACCGACTGCGTCATCGCCGACTGGGACTCGTTGGTGTGCACGATGGTCACGATGGGGATGGTGATCCCCAGGTACAGCCCTGGGGGACACAGGGTGTGCAGGAAACACAGAGGGAGGTTTACATGCTGTGCTGGACTGCTGAACTCAGACCGAGTCCTGTAAACCCCACAGAGGTACTAACAGGATGCTTTAGGCAGTGGGGCTGTGTATTCCAGGTTGGAAGCAGCACAGGCTGCCCAGAGAAGCTGTGGCTGCCCCTGGATCCCTGGAAGTGTCCAAGGCCAGGTTGGATGGGGCTTGGAGCACCCTGGGCTGGTGGAAGGTGTCCCTGCCCATGGCAGGGGGTGGCACTGGATGGGCTTTGAGGTCTCTTTCAGGATTTCTATGATTGTTCTGGAAGGGCTAGAGCCAGTGTGGTGGATTTGAGAAAGCTAATAAAAGCATCTCCCCAGTTAGCAAACTGAGGGCATAAATATAGTCGTATAACTCCAGTGCAGAGTTGTGGTGCCCATTACCTGAGGAGTTCTGCTCACAGATGTACCTCATGAGCTTCATGAAGCCCAGGCAGATGCTCTGCTCGTACTGTTTCTCCTTCATTTTTATGCAGGCCCACTTGGCCTTCCCATACTGCCTTTTCTCATAGAGCAGATCTCCCAGCTGCAATCACAAAGGGAAGGATTTAGGATTTCAATATCAGCAGCTGAAACCCCCCACAAATACATGTTTAGCACCGGAACAATTGCATCTTTTTCAACTGTCAGGGATGTGATCTTGAAGGGAACATGAGTTTCAATCCTTCCTCAGTATATCAACATACATTAATCCTTTATTCAATACAAACTCAGGAACGAATGTGCTGCTGACCTCAGAGCACAACTTATTTCAGCAGATTTCCGGGTAGCTCTCCTTTAAAATAAGGAACTGACATTTCTTGGGACTGTATTAACCATTTATTTGCAATTAACACTGAACAACCTTATTTTTTAGCTGCAGTTGTTCCAGTAGTACTGAGAATTTGCTTTTAATTACAACAGGAACAGTCAGGAGTCCCAAACTGTTCAGATGAAACATGTTCCAATTATGATATTTATAAATGTGACTTATTGTTTAAAAGAAATGTTACAAAAAGTCTTCAGAGATGGTTAGTAAAGGTTTTCTGGGTTTGTTGATTTAAGGTTAGACCCTTGTTTGCACATTTCCTGAGCCAGAAGCAATTTGCTCCCATCCTTTTCAGATTTGTATTAGAGGATGAGACGGGTTTGCAAATTGCTGCTTTGTTTGGTAACCATCTGTGATACAAAAGAACTTTGGTTTGAAATTCAGGTATTAATCTCTTTCAAGCACTCTTTGCTAAGGTTTTATTAACATGACTGTGTAAATAAGCAAATTTAAAAGAACCAATTTAAATGGAGAAGAGGGGGGGGTTTATTTCAAATATCAAAATATGGGAAATTTTTGTTAAATCAGTTCTAAAATGTCACAAAGGCTGTAATTCTTGTCTTTCTTACGAGTTTCCTGAGAGCGTTTACTTTACAAAAAACAAAACTCACTTGTTAAAGGGGTGAGCTGTTCAAAGTGAAAGGAGTTAAAGAGAACACTTGGGGTGTTAAAAATCCTAACGGGTTGAAAGGATTTGCTAAGGAGCCCCATTTCTGGCAATCCTAACTGGTTGGAAGGATTTGCTAAGGAGCCCTGTTTCTGGAAGTGAAGTGTGAAAGCCCAGCCCGGTGCTCCCAGCCCAGCAGGGAGGGGCAGCAGTACCTTCTCCTTGCGCTGGATCAGGGTGAAGGGGATGGTCTGTCGCTCCTGGGGGTTGTTGTTCCTGGTCAGCTGCTGGATTGGCTCTGCCATGTCTGCAACACAAGGACACAGATCCCACTTCAGACTTAGAGATGCAAAAATTAGACTGAATTGTGTTGATTCCTGCTCTTAGTTAAGCTTTGGGGACCTTGGAGCCAGTTTAGTTTGTTCTTCTCTTAGGAAAGGTTCCCTGGCTGCTGCCTCTGTACCCTTAGGAAAAGGTTTCCCTCTCCCACTCCTCAGGTTTGCAATTCCCAAATTTTCTGGGCCAGTTTTCTGGCTCTGTGCAGCTGACATTCCCAGTTCTGGTGACTCTCCTGGTGCTGGAGTCCTGTGGATCCACACGAGGTAAATTGGCTTGGCTGCTCCTGGTCACCGGCTCAAGGGAATACTGCTGTGGAAACTCATGCCCAAAAGCTGTTTCATTTTAATATTTTACTTTAGAGTTCGATATTTCTGAATTTAGTTTTTGAATCTATTTATATCTCTATTTGTAGATAAAAGTTAAACATTCATAGTTCTTAAAAGCAGTAAAATACATCTGATACCTCTCTGTTTCAGTGCATTATTAGCCAGGACATATGTTGAGTGCAAGGCCTGTGTTGTTGCTGTTTCCAACCCAGCTCCAATGGATAAAAGGAGCAAATAAATGATACTTTCCCAAATGAAACTGGCATTTTCTAGAACTTCTGTGCCCCCCCAGTTCTGCTGTTTCAGTGTGGTTGGATTAGGTGTGTTTGTAACTGTGGTTGCCCTGACGTCAATTCTGGCTGAAGTTCCTAAATCAACTCTGCTTTACTCTGCTTTAGGAGTTGATCCCTGACAGCCAGGCTTGGAAGCTGTGGATGTAAGGTTAGCCTAAGGTATGGGAAGCTTCTCTTCCAGAGGAGTTGGTCCCTTGCTTTCCAAAGCTGAAGTGATCAAGGCATTTGTGTGCTCTGAGAGAGGATTAGACAGTGAGTTCTATGTGCTTTGAAAGCCTGGGTGTGAATTCTGCCCTGCTCCCTCATGGTGTGTGTTGGACACGCAGCAAAAGGACACATTTCAGCTGCAAGGGCTCTCTTCCTGGGTGTTTTAAGTGCCTCAGGATGTTAAGTGGAAAAGGCAGGATGATGGGGGAAGACAGCATTATCCATGTTCCAGGGAAGAGGAGAATTAAGATGCAGGAGAATTAACTTGGCCAAGGTCACTTGGTAAATCTGTAGCTGAGCAGGGAATCAAACCTCCATGTCCTGGCAGCCAGTGCAGGGCTTTAGCTGTAAGACTAGTTAGAACAGTAAAGATCCCTAAACAAAGGGAAGGGAAAAAATAAAGATGAGGAAGCTACATTAGGGATAATTTGAAACTTTTTTTTTTTTAAATATGTAATTGAGAATCATTGAAAATGTAACTAATTACTGACATATAAAATTGATCTCTTTGGAGGCTGAGGGAAAAGCAAAAGTAGATTAGCCTTCAGCACTTAATTTTCCAAGAACTAGGAAACATTTTAGGACTGAAGAAAAGTCTATTTTTCAGTCATTTTATTGATAAATGGGGGGATTGTATTTTTTCCTTCCGTATTAATACACAGGATAGGGATTGCAATGAATTCAAGTCCTTTTGGGAGTTCTCTCCCTCAGCTGGTGCATTTGTGCCTCCTGTTGTGTGAGTGTGGAGGCTCTGCCTGCACAGGGCCTGGCTGGCAGTGGGACCAGGAAAGGTGTTTCCTGACCTCAGGGCTTCAGTGACCCCAAGGACCATCCAGTCCAACCCCAGTCCTGCCCAGGACACCCCAGCAATCCCACTCTGTGCCCCAGAGGATCATCCAAGCCCTCCTGGAGCTCTGGCAGCCTTGGGGCTGTGCCCACTGCCCTGGGGAGCCTGTTCAGTGCCAACCACCCTCTGGGGGAAGAGCCTTGTCCTGAGATCCACCCTGACCCTCCCTGGCACAGCTCCAGCCCTTCCAGGGTCCTGTCCCTGCTCACAGAGCAGGGAGTGCAGAGAGGTGGCCTCTCCCAGTGCCAGGGGGATTCCTCCTCCTGGAAAGTCACCTCCACTGCCTCCACAGGGCCCTGGGCAGGACCTGAAGAAAGAGCTTCTGTTATTCTATATTGCATTTTATAACATTTGCTGAGTGTCACAGAGCAACCCTTCTTTAGCACAGGAACTGAAATGTGGTCAAATGCTACTTTTGACGTATTTCCTAGACTCTGTGTCCTTCCTGGTGGACCTCAGGAATCTCAGTGCAGGGTTTCTCTGTGTATCACACCACCAGGGAGTTTTGTGGGAAGGAATTCGGTTTTCTGCTGCTCAGAGCTGCCCTAAAGGAGCCCTTTGGCTTCCAGCCCTTGACCTGCACTCAGTGTGTTAAATAGAGATCTCTCTCCTCTCTCGACCCCTCCTGCCCTGTGGATTTGATGTGCTGATTCCAGACACAAACCCGGGGCTGCTGGAGTGTGTGTTGAAACTGTGGGATGGCACTGCTGGCACAGGGCAAGCAAAGACCCCTCTGAGGGTACTGAGAACACGGCAAGGCAGAGAATGCTGTTCAGACTCATCTTACCCTTCTTTTAGCACGTTAATTTTCAGCGTTAAACCATTACAAAGTTAAGATGAGACTTCGAGGTATGACTTGAAAAGGAGCTGGGACTCTTTGCTGCATTGGATTATAGGAAGAGTTTTTAAATAGCAGTAATTTCCTGTTGGTGGTGTCTAGAGCAGCCTGTTCAGGGTTTGCTGGTTCCCCCCGGGGATGGTGGGTTACCTGAGCAGCAGAGATGGTTCACATCTCTCTGCTGCTCTGAGCAGTTACAGTTTCTGGTTGAGCTGAGTTTGCAGTGACTCTGCTGCTTGTTTGGAGTTATCCGATTTGCTACAATCTTTCAGACTCTCCAGTCTGTCTTAAAATTGAAAATGAGCAATTTCTGACTAAGATAAGCCTGGGAGGCTCGCTGTCAAAAAAGCAAAGTTGATCCTTCTACTTGTTTACTCTTTGCAATCTTTAAATACAACCATCTTTCTTTAAAGAACTGACAGGAGCTTTTATAAACAAGAATGCTTTTGCAAGTAGCCAGTTCAATGTTTGATTAAGACTGCAAACTCGCCCTGATGCTTTTCAGAACGCACAGGTCCCCCCAGTGCTGCTGCAGCCGCCCCTCTGCGTTACGGGCCCCTCTGCACGGCCCCGTGCGAAGCTTTAGCTGCGTTGGTCCCAGAGCTGCAGACCCTTTACCGGGTGCTGTGCCCTGCCCCGCGCTGTGTCCCCGTTCCCAGCCCGATCCGCAGAGCCTGCCGTGCCGGGCTGTCCCGCACGGCGCTCCGAGCAGCCCGGCTCCCGTCCCGCTGCCCTAAGCGGCTTACGGCGCTTACCGCGGGGCACGTCCACCTGGTGCCCCCTGCCCACGCTCTGCCAGTAGCTCAGCAGGCGCTCCTGCTCCTCGTCGTCCATGCGCTCGGCCGCCTCCTCCTCCAGGGAGCTGCCGTGGCTGTGGTACGCCGAGTCGGGGCTCTCCTCCAGCCCGTCCAGCTCCTCCAGCGTGATCGCGCCGGGCCCCGCGCCGCCCATGCGGCACCCGCCCGTCTCCATGGCCGGCAGCCGGGATGGCACCGCTGCCAGCGCCCGCCGCTTTATCGGGATCGCCCTGCCCAGGGATTTGGGGGCGGGGGCACCCGCCTCTGCCCGCCCAGCGCCGGGGCAGGGCCGCCCGCGAGGTGCGGCGATGGATGGATGGATAGATAATAGATACATGGAGGGAGGGATGGGCAGCCGGTCCCTGCGCACAGCCGCTTTCCTCGGCCGCCCTGGTGCTCCGTAGCTTCTCTTCCCACGTGCTGTAGGGTCTGAGCAGTGCAGAACTTAAAGAAGTTTGTGTCATGTCTGTTTTTTCACTCATTCCCTCTTTCCCAGCTATTCTCTTCATCGTTTATTTTCCCCACTGCTCTGCATATCCCGTTTGTCCTTCTTTGTCGTGATTTTATTTTACTGCTCCCAAACCACGACTAAAAGACAGATCCGAATAAAATGATTCCAAACTGATTCCAGTTAGGAGTGCAAAAGCCACGGGACATTTTGTTACTGAAGTCCAGCTTTGGAAGTTGCAAATGTTGCCCTTGCTGAGAGCAGCGTTTGTGAGCGCGAGGGGGATGAGCAGCCAGGCTCTGGGGTGGTTGTGGCAATTAAAGCAGGAGCTGGGTTGCAGTCAGGGCTCTGTGTGGAGTTGCCTTTCATTCCAAATTGAACGTGAAATGAGTGCTGTGGCCCTTTGTGTGCAGGCATGGAAGAGGAATCTCGGGGCATTTAGAGTTTTGGAATAGCAGGAAACAGTCCTCTCCTGTGCTCTGCTGATCCCTCCAGGAAAAGCCAGAGGTTAGGGCTGGGACTGTGGGGATAGAACTGTTGGCTCTGATGTGATGCTTAATCTGCCCCCTCTCCTTTTTTCCCCTGTCTGTGGTCCGTACCTTTCCCTCAGGCTCAGCTGTGGTTACCCCAGCCTAGGCTGAGCTTGCTGTCACAATGAACTGTGAACTGCAAGTCCTGACTGTGCTCCTGACAGCACAGACCTCGATCCCACTGTTCCTATGAAGTGCTCCTTTGGGAATTTGTAAGGGAGGAGCAGCTGCTGGTGGGAACATCCTGGGAGAGGGTTTGTTCAGAGCAGTGGCTGCAGCGAGTGAAGCTCAGCCCCACTGTGGGGGTGTTTGGCCTCCTGGCTGTGGGCAGTGAATCAGCATCCCAGCCGGCCTGAAATCCCTGGGAAGGCAAATCCTGAGGAAGGTTGGCTTTGGTGCTTGTTTGAGTGCCTGGCTGTGAGCTGATGTGATTTCACGGTCAGTGCAGAGCACAGGGTTCACTGGCCATGAGCTGGAGGGGTTTGTGTCAGTGCCCAGGTTCTCCTCTCACACCCAGCTGAGCTTCCAGTGGGGAGCAGCTGCTGTGGGCAGGGACCCCCGGGGGGCACAGTGGGATCCATCCATCTACAGGTACCTCCACCTCTCACAGCTGCAGTGCTGTGGGTGAGGAATTTTCCACAGAATTCTGGAAGCTGGGTTGTTCCTACCAAGTGAGGGCTCTTGCAGGTTTCTTCCAGGAAAATGTTTTTCCTGAGACAACAGGACTGTTTGAGGCAACCTGTGGAGGTTTTTCCTCTGCCTGTCCTGCATAAACAATTCCAGCAGTTTCCCGGGGAAGACAGTCCCAACTCGTGTGTTCAAGTTATAATGAAAATTACTTGTTTAAGTGAAGTTATTTCTGTTTAGAGGATTGTTAAGCATCATTACTGAAGATTAGAAAAAAGAAAATGAAAAAATAACCTGAAAAATTGTTTAAAATCACAGCTGAATTTCTCTGTATGTGAGAAATGCCACAGAGCATTGACTGTGAGAAAGAGGCTGACAGGAGTTTAAGATCCTGTTTTAAAGATCACTGTATTTAATTTGTCTTTGGTTTTGATGAGCTTAGTAATTACCACGTTTGATAGAATGCAGTAGTGTCATGGTCTGTGAAGAAGTGTCATGGTCTGTGTCTGGACACTGCTCAGATAACAGAGTAACTCGTTGTTACTAGAGATGAACAAAGCTGATTTTTGCTGTATTTGCTGTTTTGTCCCCCAACTTGTTAATTCTGTGTATGGCTGCTGCCTAAAGAACAGCCACTCTTGAGATAACCTGGTTTTGGCAGTGCTGTGTTCTCTGTGCTTTCCTGGCAGTTACACCTCTGAATGTAACAGAAAAACTGATATTCAGCCTTAAAGCTGGGAATTTGAGACATCCTCAGTGAGATGCTCCTTTCTGTCCTGTGGCAAAGGGCTGGCAGTCACTCTCACTGAGTGGCAGGTTCATGCAGAAAAGCCACTTTTTTCTTGTAACTTCTTAAGTGATAGGGTAAAATTGTTCTTTGTGTAATTAGTTGAAAAGTAAAAACTGTAGATCTTCTTGTTTTATAAGCTTTAAGAACTGAAAAATGCTGTACCAGCAGAAAAGTCAGATGTTGGAAGAGGACAAAGTATTGGGTGTTTTTGATGGATCCCGTCTTCCAGGGAAGAGCAGCATGTGCTCAGCATGTGACACATCCCTGGGAGGCTGTGGAGGGTCTGAATGAGTTAATGTGAACTTAGCTCAGAACTCTGAGCAGAGCCAAGATCATTACTGAGCTGATCAGTATTGGGTTTGGAGAATGACAGGATCAGCTTAAAAACACCATGTCCTGCTGTGTCCCTGTTGTTTTCCTTTCCTTCCTGGCAAGGTGAGAAATGTCAGGAGGAAGCTCGAACAAAACAGCACTTTTCTCCCTCAGTTAGAGTTTGGTTGTGAAGTTTTACAGGGAGAAGAACTAAAAGTGGCTCTGGATTTGTTCTGGAGCTGCCTGTGTTACTGCCCTGCTCCTGGGCTGAGCCATCCCTTTAGGGCAGAGCAGAGTGCTGGGGGCGTGTTGGCATTCCCACAGAGCTGTGGGGGTGGTGGCACCTCATGGACACGCAGTGTGGGCTCATTTCCCTCACACCCCTTCAGCACTGCCCCAGCATGCTGGGGAGGGTCTGTGCAGTGTCCCAGGCCAGGCTGGACGGGGCTTGGAGCACCCTGGGCTACTGGAGGGTGTCCCTGCCCATGGCAGGGGTGGCACTGGGTGGGCTTTGAGGTCCCTGTCACCCAAACCAGTGTGTGGTTCCATAGTGGGCACTGGAAATGCTGGAGCTGTGGGAGTTGGGAGCCAGGGGAAGGGGCTGAAGGGAAGGGCAGCTCTGTTTAAGCCCAGAGTGGTGTTTAAAACCCAGCCTGGTGTGTCAGTGAAGCCTGGGAGTGCTGTAAACCCTTGGAGTGCTCGGTCTGGGGAGGTACAACCTGCGTAGCAGCTGCTTTCTCCCAACCCTCCCTCTCTGCTGGGATAGAAGTGCTACAAACCCAGTTATTTATGTGTGTTTTTCTCTGCTAAAGAACCCTTCAAATCTGCAGTAAAATAATTTGGCCAGGGCATTAGTTTAGAGCCTTTGGTTTTCATTGTGCCAACAGAAAACAGATTAAAAGCAGTTTTAGGGAGGTGTAGCTGGCACAGTGTCAGTTCTTTGTCTGGTAACACAAGTCCTCAGCTCCAAAAACAGGTTCTAAGCTCATCTTGGTTAAAAGCTCCAAGAACTCCTTGTGGTTTGCTGTGGGAGATAACTCGGAACAGAAAAGGTCTTTGTGTTCTTGGCAAGTTGAGTGAGGGTGGGATAACTCAGCCAGTTGTGTCTTATTTGCTGGCTGTAAATCTGTCAGCTCTGGCCTCCATTTAGGGAGCTGCAGAAAGCCATGAGTCCTCCTGAGCAATTAATTGAAATTAATTCTCCAGTCTGTTTGTGAAACGGGGAACACGACACTGCCATGTTTTGGAAAGATTGAGGGGACTTTTCAGAAGTATTATCTTTGTAATTAAAAATGAAGGTATGGAGGCAAGATAAATGCAATCAGTGAGCAGAGCCTGTGCCTGTGTCTCTCCTAAGTAGGTTATGTTTACTGTTCCCTGTTAGTTTTGAAGCTCCAGGTGACTGGATCCCGCTGTCTTTCATAACAGTCGGCCTGGGTTTGTTTTGCAGAAGGTGATTAAATCAGACAGGGGTGTACATTGAGCAAACAGGGACAGTATCATTTTCTTATACCTTTTAACTAGGTCAAGGGATAAAACACAAAAGTACATGTAATGAAAAGTTCTTTTCAGAGAACAGCTCTGCAGCATGTATAGGAAATAACAAACCAGAGCTGAAATATCATACATAGTGGGCATTGCTCTTTAATGAAAACATTAATTGCTCTTCTAGAGGAGCATTTGTGTTCAGGCTGACTCCATTTCCACTACTTCAGAGATAGTTTGAGCTTCATCCTCAGCATTTCAAGTGTCCTCAATGTCCAGCTGATCAGGGTTTGATGGAAGGGTAATGAGCTATTCCAGGGGTATCCATTCAAGTAAAAAGCACTGAGTTATTCCTTGCATGGTCAACAGTTCTGTTTATTTTATAAATACCTTTTTCTATAAGCTAGCACAGACATTTCTGCCTCTGTTCTTTTAAAGGGACTGTCAGGTACCGCCTGGCTCGAAAAACAGCAGAACAATAACAAACTGATTGGTAAACACGAAGGTCTGAATTTGAAACTGTTACAACCAAACCATATCTTTGGTTTTGTTCTCATTAATAGGAGAAGAGACCCCTGTGCACTGAGCCTTCCCTGTGCCTGGGTGAATGGTTTTGACTGTATTTTAAGAAAACATAATTTGATTTCTTTGGGTTTTTTCCTCTTTCCTCCAGAAATTCCTGGCACTGCTGTAGCTTCCAGTTGGTGTTTGCCTGTTGGTGGTGTTAGTGGTTTATTTGGTCTAATTAATCCATTAGCCTTAATTAGAAGGAATGCCTCGGGATGGAGTGTCTTGCTTTGCTTTCCCTGGGAGCTGTGTGAGGCCATGGCCTGTATCCCTGGGGATACAGGAGGACCTGGACATGGGCTTGGAAGTGCCTGGGAGCCTGTTGGCCTCAGCTTGGGGTTTGGTGCCTGCAGCTGGTCTGAATCCAACTGCCCAGGAGACGTGGAATGAGCAGGAGGGAGCTGTGCTGAGGCCAGAGTAAAGCCAGGGAATGGTTTGGGTGGGCAGGGACCTCAAAGCCCATCCAGTGCCACCCCTGCCATGGGCAGGGACACCTTCCACCAGCCCAGGCTGCTCCAACCTGGCCTTGGACACTTCCAGGGATCCAGGGGCAGCCACAGCTTCTCTGGGCAACCTGTGCCAGGGCCTGCCCACCCTCAGAGGAAAGAGGAGCAACCTAAGATGCACCAAAACACTCAGAACTCTGGCTCCCTTTCCGTGATTTCCCTTTATCAGCAGCCCTTATCTGCTGTAAGCAGCTTATCCTGCTGGCTCCAGAGTGCTGGTTCGGAACGACCCCTGGGATGGAGTGGGCAGGCTGGAAATTCCCCAGCACGGTGCTCCCCAGGTCAGCTGCTGCTGTCACAAGTTCTCCTTCACCCTTCCAAACTTCTCCTGCATGTCTGATTCCTTGGGGGATTAACACAGCTGTTGCTGATGATGGCAGTTATTCCCACTCCTTGTCTTGGGATTTTAGATTGCATTTAAATTAGATGTTGGGAAGAAATTGGTTACTGTGAGGGTGGGCAGGCCCTGGCACAGGTTGGGCAGAGAAGCTGTGGCTGCCCCTGGATCTCTGGAAGTGTCCAAGGCCAGGTTGGATGGGGCTTGGAGCACCCTGGGCTGGTGGGAGGCAGTGATCTCTCTGTGACAGGGACAGCACCCAGGGAAGGGCTGGAGCTGTGCCAGGGCAGGCTCAGGTTGGATCTCAGGACAAGGCTCTTCCCCCAGAGGGTGGTTGGCACTGAACAGGCTCCCCAGGGCAGTGGGCACGGCCCCAAGGCTGCCAGAGCTCCAGGAGGGTTTGGATGATCCTCTGGGGCACAGGGGGGATTGTTGGGGTGTCCTGGGCAGGACTGGGGTTGCAGTGGATGGTCCTTGAGGGTCCCTTCCAGCTCAGGATATTCCATGCTCTGTGAAGGTGTCTCTGCCCATGGCAGGTGATTGGAACGAGAAGAGCTTTAAGGTCCCTTCCAACCCAAACCATTCTGGATTCTGCTTTGAGTTTCTCCTCACAAGCTCCAGGAGTGCCTGGCTGGCCTGATTTAGGCCTGGTTTTATTGGTTTAGTTGGATGATTTTCAGGGGGCTGAAGGGACAGTAAAGGGATTAGGCATTTGCTACATTATAGCCCTCTTAGTGCAGGGCAGCTGTGCTGGTGCTGGAGCGGCTGGAAGGCTTGGGAAACACGGTGTGCATGGATGCAGGCACAGGGCAGTGCCTTTGGAGAGCCTGTTGTTGTGCACCGAGATGTTTTCGGGGCCATTGGCCAAGGGACCAGCAGGTTGTAAACAGCGTTTGTGGCACAAAGCTGATTACTGCGATTACGGCCGAGTTAGCGCTCACGCCAAACTAAGTCTGGGCAAAAATCCTGACCACCTAAGGCTGCGAAACAAAGAGGAAAAACAGGATTAGGTTGCATTAGTGCAGGTTATTCTGCGTGTTGCACCGATGTGGAAAGCAGGTACATGTGATGGATGAAAACTAAGTGTGTTTTGGTGTGGATTCCAGAGGAAACGGGACACGCTGCTGGTGCTCATTCCTCTGTACTCACATCTCCCATCCCTCCCACGCACAGCTGTCTGACCTCTTGGCTGGTCCTTCACCTAAATTGGTCTTCCCAAAGAGAAACACGAGTGTTCTGTGCTCAAAATGCCACTCAGGTTCATGTGAGCAGTGGGAGAAGGAGCCTGAGCTCCAGGCCTGGCTGTCCATCCCATTCCCTTCCCTCTCTGCCTGGTCAGTCCTTGTGCCATTCCAGATGTCAGGGTGTGTTTCCCCTCCCCAGTCACAGGATGGATGGAGGTTCCCCTGCAGGCAGGAGGGGTGTGTGTGCAGTGGGGGCACAGATCCCTGGGGAACCAGGTCCAAGTGCTGTGTTTGGGTTGCAGGTGCTCGAGGCGTTCGCCGGCCGACTGATCCGAATGGGAGTTTTGGCCAGGAGGGACATTCCCAGCCTGACCAAGTACCAGATCATCCTGGCAAGGGATCAGTATAGGAAAAACCCCTCTTCACAACATGTGGTAAGAGTCTTTATTGATTTCATGTCATTAAAGTGGGGAGTAAATAGTAATTATTATCCATAGGTACCAAATTTCCTGAGACATTTTAAGTAGATTTCTGGTTTTAGCCCTGGAATAAATTATCATAGAATCACAGCATGGTTGGGTTGGAAGGGACCGTAAAGATCATCTATGAAATCTATAAAATATGCTTAACTGTTCCATATTTCTTGATGGCAATATAGAAAAGTTAAGGGAAGGATGAAGGACTCCATTTCCAAAGTGAAATTGTTTTGAGGGCTTAGATTGTACTTTCAGCAAAGTTCACACTTTCCCCTCAATGCTACATTCCTGCTCCTATTTTTCTGAAAGTTGTCAGGGAGTGGTCAAATTTTGTAATCTTTAAGAACATTGCTAAAAAACCACTGTGTGCCTTAAGAAAAACATTGGGAAATCCCTTTCACAGTAAGCAAGGCAACTTTCCTGCCTTAATTTCATAGGCTGGGTAGATGTGTCAGAAATCCCTTGTTTTGCCAAATCCAGATGGGTGGATGGGTTCAGCTGGCAGAGGCTGAGGGGAGATGAGCTAATCCTGGAGGATAACACAGGTATCTTGGAGAGCATTTTGGAGGGGCAGAAGGATTGCCTCCACTGGGCTGTGTGAAATCTGTTCCCTGAGGGTTGGGATAGACAAACTGCTCGCTGGGCATCAGCTGGGGCTTTGGCTCTGCTCCCCAGGCACCAGTCTGGTTTTGGTCAGGAAATGCAGTGTGATTCCTGCTCCTTAGTCACTTCCTAATTCAGTGATGATCTGTTTTGTTTCACAGGGAGTCCTCCAGGGCGTCATTGAAGGGGACTTTGCCCTCTGTATCAGTTTGTACCATGGGTATGAGCTGCTGCTGCAGATGGGAGTGCGGTCCTTGTTCATCTACCTCTGGGGAATTATGGATGGAGCCAAAGGTGAAATGTCCCTACACACATCCTTCCTTTCATTTACCTCATCTGTATGGCAACTTACAGAATAAGTGGGTTGCAAATGGAAGGGGTGCTTTATTCCCTTCATCCCAACTGGAAATGCATTAGCAGTGTACATTTGGGAAAGCAAACTGAATCCTGAGGTGTTCCAACTCTTTCCAAAGGGCTGACCCGCACGAAGAACGAGCTGGGGCGTAACGAGGACTTCATGGGGCTGTACCAGCACCTCCGGGACATGTTCTCAGACACAGCTGTGGCTCCAGAGATGGGAGGTGTTTGCAGGAGTAACACAGGTCAGGCACACACTGTTCCTGTTTAAAAGTTGGGCTGCAGGTGGCTGCTCTTCTTTATTCCAGGTTGTCTTCCCAATAGTCCCCTCCCTCTCTCTCGCTCTCTCGCTTCCCTTGGTGGTTTTCTGTGTTTGAAGTTTTTCATTTGATTTAAAATGAAGGTTAAAATATTACTATTTGACTGAATGTCTTTTCCAGTGTGAGTGTAACAAAAGTAACAGCACTTTCTCAGAAACCTGGGGTTTACAAATGTGCTTCTGCCATTAGTTTATTATTTTCTGTGAGTTGATGCAATTAGAATCAGTGTCAGGAATTTGTGTGTCCGACTCGGATAGTTCCAGTGGGAGGAAATGAAGTTCACTAAACCTTCATGCCTTTTGCAGCTTTACTTATGTCTTTCACTGCTTTATTGCCTTTCCAGTGCTGGAGAAGAAAAAGGAATTCATCTACAGCCATCCAAAATTAAGGAAATTGGAGGAAATCGTAATAGAACACTTCAAATCCTGGAAAAATAGGTGCTCTGGTAAGTACCAACAACTCAAAAAGTACCTGACCAGTTGCACCTGGGGGTGGAAACAAGTAATATCCTACTGATTCCTGATTTAGTGCTAATTTGTATGTTTGTGTATCCTCTGTGTGGAAAAGTCCTCCCTAGAAGAACTTTACCGTAAGATTTGTGTAAGATAAAATGTCCTATGAGTTCTCATGTTTAATTTGCTGTAAAATGCTCCAATAGCTGAGTAAAACAGATTTAATAAACTCACTGCTGGTGCTTCTGTGCCTCCTGCTTGCCCTACTCCCAGGGTTTGCTCTGGGCCCTTCCCTGGGAGCTCTGCTGCCACTGCCTCCTGCAGAGTTAAGATGAGCATATTTAAGGAGCTTGAAGGTAAGAGTTGTGATATCCAGCCTGTGGCCACGAATTACATGTCCCCAGGTGTCCCATCCACAGGCCTTTTGAGCCCTTCCAGGGGTGATGATTCCAGCCTTTCCCAGGCAGCCTGTTCCAGTGCCTGGCCAGAAGAACACGGAATCCTGAACTTCATTGCAAGACACGTGCCCTGCAACCTGAGCTTTCCAAAGTAACCTCAGGGGTGGGACCCCAGATGTGGGGCATTCTCAGCATGCTTGGTGTCCGTTCTCCAAAATTAGAGCACTGCTTTGATTCCAAAGGGAGTTTTTCCAGGAGGAGTATCTTGGAGCGTTTTCTGTGTGTTTGCCCACGGAGTGAGATGGGAGCTGTGCACATGTAACTTGTCTGATGCCCTGTCCTTTTTCATTACTAATTCTACTAAAATCCTGCCTCTTCTTCTGATCCAACAGAGCAGGAGGGGAGTGGAGGCCCCTCTGAGGACACCAGGGTGATGATCTTCTCCTCGTTCCGGGACAGCGTGCAGGAGATTGCGGAGATGCTGTCCCGCCTCAGCCCGACCGTCCGGGCCATGACGTTCGTGGGACACTCCACAGGCAAGAGCACCAAAGGCTTCACCCAAAAGGAGCAGCTGGAGGTACAGAAAACAGGAGACTGTGCCAGGAAATAGTGATAAAGAGCATTAATTGTGTGCATAACTCCAGGAGTGCACACTGTGTGGAAGTGGCTGAACTTTCACTGTCACTGGTGGAGTTCAGTGCCTTTCAGAGGATCCAAAATTATACTCACTGAACAGAATATACAAGTATAAACTATTTATATATTTGCATTCTATTTATTTATATATTGGCAACTGTTGATTTGTATGTATTAAAAGTCGGGGGAAATATTCAAATATGTACTTAGGGAATTCTTTTTTCTTGTAGGCAGGAAAGATAAGATCTGTCCTTAAATTTTGACCTAGCAAAGTTATAAAAACCAGACAATCCACCCCAAAGATATTTAATTGCACAGTTGGGAAGATCAGTGTTAGAAGAATGCCATGGTTGGAGTCAGACTAAGGTGTGCTTTTTTTCCTTCATTTTGGAATTAAACAGTTGAAGTGCTGATGTTGGTCACGTTGGTGTGTGGGATTTGATCAAGAGGTAGCAGTTGACTTAGACAGACTAAGTTTTGGCATGTTACAGTGTAAATCAACGTTTCCAGCCTAGAAAAGCTGCGGGGCCGTGGTGCTACCGCTGGTAAATCTGACCTGAGTTCCCCGTGCAGGTGGTGCGGCGGTTCCGGGAGGGCGGCTACAACACCCTGGTGTCCACGTGCGTGGGGGAGGAGGGCCTGGACATCGGGGAGGTGGATCTGATCGTGTGCTTCGACGCCCAGCGCAGCCCCGTGCGCCTGGTGCAGCGCATGGGCCGCACCGGCCGGCGCCGCCACGGCCGCATCGTCGTCATCCTCGCCCAGGGCCGCGAGGAGAGGGTGAGTGCTGGGAGGGACCCAGCCCCTGGCCCTGGCCCTGCTCACAGGGAACAGAGATCGGAGCTGCAGCCCCCTCTGAGCTCTGCCCTCAGTCTCCTTCTTCAGTCTGTCCTGGGAAACTGTCACAGAATCCTGGAATGGTTTAGGTTGGAAGGGACCTTAAAGCTCTTCCAGTATCACCCCTGCCATGGGCAGGGACACCTTCCACCAGCCCAGGGTGCTCCAACCTGGCCTTGGACACTTCCAGGGATCCAGGGACAGCCACAGCTTCTCTGCCCAACCTGTGCCAGGGCCTGCCCACCCTCCCAGCCAGCAATTCCTTCCCAATCTCCCATCTCTCCCTGCCCTCTGGCAGTGGGAAGCCATTCCCTGTGTCCTGTCCCTCCATCCCTTGTCCCCAGTCCCTCTCCAGCTCTCCTGGAGCCCCTTTAGGCCCTGCAAGGGGCTCTCAGGTCTCCCTGGAGCCTTCTCTTCTCCAGGGGAACCCTCCCAGCTCTCCCAGCCTGTCCTGTCATCAAATGATGACACTGGGAGCACTGGGAGCACTGGTCCTGGGCTGGTGACGACACTGTGTGCTCAGAGCAGTGCTCAGTGGCTGCTCTTGCGTGTGAGGTCTGAGCAGATCAGCTTAGGGGAAATCCACTTTGGCTGAGTTCCTGAACCTCAGCACTCAAGTGGAGCATGGTTAATCATCCCTGAGTACAGGCTGTCCCTTGGGAACCCCGTGGGACACTGCAAACCCAAACTGTGAGCCAGGGAGCCCACCATCAGCTGTGTCAGCTGCATCCCACGGCCCTGCACAGCCTGGGCTCATCCACGCTGTGGGAAGGGCAGGATTTGGGCAGGCCGGGCCAGGCAGCCCCTGCTGCCATCTCTGGTGAGAGGGTGCAGGACAATAAGTGCAAGATCTGTGTGAGCCAATTATACACCCAAAATTTCCGAGTCTTGGTGTTCATGTGTTCCAGTTGATGTCATAGCTCTGGTTTGTGTTTGTAGGTGGCAGGGATTTAATTCTGAATGAGAGGATCCTGCCTGAGGGGGAAGAAAGCAGCTTTGGAGGGATGAGAGTTAAAAATGATAAACCTGAATGGTGTTTGTGAATAGATGTTTTCTCATGCTACTTATGCAGGCTGGTTACTACTGAGAGCACTGCTCTGTAATGGGATATAGAATAGTCCTTTAAATTCCTTGGAGCTTCACTTAAGTAGCTGGATTACTGTGTTCTCCAGATTTTCTCAGAAATCTCTGCAGCAGAACCTTCCCCAGGTAGAACAGTAATTGTAGATAATTTTTTTTTTCATTATTTTGAGGTCAGGAAATAAATTTAATTGCTGAACAGTATTGGTTTGGTTTGTTTGTTGTTTTTGCTAGGGGGTGCTTTTGGGGTAGTTGTTGGATTTTTTAAGATTGAGTCTCCTTCCAGTTCTGTTAATGTGGAGATTCTTTCCCATCACATAATTCACAGCTAAATAATGAATGGTCATTATGGTCCCTCATAATTTGTGGGAATGTTGGGGGTTTGTGTTTATTTTTTGTTTCTTTGTGTTTGGGGAGGGTTTTTTGTTTGTTTGGGTTTTTCTTGGTTTTGCTTGGTTTAGTTTGTTGGGTTTTTTTTAATCAAACCACTTCAGTTGCCTTGCCCAGCGTGTGAAGCCCAGGGTGTTTGTGCAGGCCTGGCAGTGTGAGGCTGGCAGGGATCCCTGTGTTTATTCCACAGCTCTCATGTGTTTCCCAGGGCAGCCCCCACATCACATGTGTCCTGGGCCCCGAGCTGGTCTGGAATGGGCCTGGATTTGGGGTCCCTGGTGTTTTGGGTTCCCCAGCTCGGCCTGGGTGGACTCGGGGCTGCTGAGCTGGGACAGGACGCAGGGCTCGGAGCTGCCCCGGGAACAGGGAAGGGGAGCAGCAGCACAGTGACAGTGCTGTTAGGGGACTTGGTAGCACCATTTTTTGCCATAGAGAGACCTTTTTTTTTCTAGGATTGTGCCAGGATTTTCTGGGATGTTGTAGAATGAAGAGGCAGTTTGCTGGAATGCCCGAGGGGCCGTTTGTCAGAGCTGGCTGCTGATCTCCTCCAGTGTGTTCAGAGCCTGCCTTTGGGTTGTCTCCTCTGCTCCTGCCCCAGAGATCTCTGCCAGGTCGTGGCTGCCACTCTGTCTCACTCAGGGGTTGGTGCCCAGCAGGGCCCTGTCCCAGGGACCCAGAGGAGAGCAGTCTCAGACTGGGGCTTTCTTCCCTTACATTCTCCAGCCTGGTCTTGGTTTCTCTGTTGCACAATAAAGTGAGGTGTAATTAAAGGACTCAGAGCACGTATGACATCAACAAATCATCTTCTGCCTTTCTTCTGCTTGGCCTCCTTCCTCAGTTTCTGATGTAATCTCATTTCCATCACCCCCATATCAGTTGCTTATTGGAACTTCCCCCAGACAGGGCTGTGCTCCTTTTTCTCCCCAGTGCTGTGTCTGTTTGGGGTTAAAAACCCCAAACCAGAATCCACCTCCATGAGGGAACAGACAATAACAAGAAACCCCGCAGACACTCGGGTGCTCCTTGAGTTTTGATCGAGTCCTGTGACAAAACAAGCAGTCAGCATGTGACTTCTCTCTTTATCTTCTCCTTCCAGACTTACAACCAAAGCCAGTGTAGCAAAAGGAGCATCCACAAAGCCATTTCAGGGAACAAAACCCTTCATTTCTACCAGCACAGCCCACGGATGGTTCCAGAAGGCATCAACCCCCAGGTGCATAAAATGTTTATCACTGCTGAGAAGTATGAGCCAGGCAACTCCAGAGCGCTCTGCAAAGAGAGGAGATGCAGCTCCCTGCAGCACAAATCTGCTCTCTTTTCCTGTGTCACTGGTAAGAGGATTATGGTGTTTCTCTAAGCGCTGCGTAAGCTGCCATGGCGTGTTTGTGTCCCAGCACATCCCTCCCGCCTCTCCCAGGGCTCTGCAGAGCCACCCCTGCCAGCTGGGGCACTGGGCTGGCCCTGCTGCTCCTCAGCCTCTCCTTGGACATCGACAGCTTGGGCTGGAAATATCCCTGCCCTGAGTCAGGCCTTTGGTTCATCTTCCACCACAGAGTCACTGTCTGAAGGTCAGGAACTCCAGCTGTTCTGTCTGAACAGAAGAGGCAAATGTTAATCAAAGAATCCCAGAGTAATTTGGGTTAGGCAGGGACACCTTCCACTAGCCCAGGTTGCTCCAAGCCCTGTCCAGCCTGGCCTTGGACACTTCCAGGGATCCAGGGGCAGCCACAGCTTCTCTGGGCGTTATGGCTTCATAAATGACAATAACACAACAATGCTTGAAATCAGGAGGATTGTGATGGGAGGAAAAGGAGCAATCAAGGGCAGGGTATTCATGAACATTAGTCTAAAAGGAGGAATGGCTCTTCAGCTGGTGCAGTTACATGGCACTGAAATGCTCAGGAAAGTGAACACAGTCATAAGACAGGAAAAAAGGCCTACTTTTTAGTAAGTACTTGGGAATCGTAGTGGTCTATCTCCTTGTTAGTGCTTTCTGTAAAGACCAACAGCAACTTCTTGAAACTCCTTAAAGGCTTGGGAAACATCATATTCCAGTACCTGATTAAACAGACACAGCTGCAAGGAAATAAGCAGAGCACAACATGGAATGAAAATCATCATTTCAGGGCATTGGTAGAATGTCCTAGAAAAGAGAAATGAGGCAGTGAGGGCATAAAGATGGTAATGCTGAGCATGTTCCTGCTGAGGGAGCAGCTGCAGAGCTGGGGTTGCCCCGTTCCTGTTGTGGGAACCAGATGAGGCACAGGGGGTGTGGGGGGCTGAGAGGCACCAAAGGTGGCCAGCACTGAGGTCCCAAAGGGGAAAAGGCTTCCTGGAAAGGGTGGTCAGGCCCTGGCAGGGGCTGCCCAGGGAGGTTTGGAGTGCCCAGCCCTGGAGGTGTCCAAGGCAGGCCTGGCCGTGGCACTCAGTGCTCTGGGCTGGGGACAAGGTGGGCATGGGCACAGGGGGATCCATGGGCTGGGAGGGCTTTTCCAGCCTCAGGGATTCTGTGCCTCAGGGATTCTGAGAAGTGACAAATGCCCTGCTGGCTACAGGCTAATCCCCCTTCTTGTGCCCCTCGAGGTTGGTTCTTGCTCTGCTCCCCTTCAAGGAGAATGAAAATATTTTGGTTCTGGGGAAGAATCAGGACAATAACAGGGATGATCTGAATGATATGTTTGTGTTTCATAGGACATTGCATGCATAACATAAAATATTCTGGAAGATAATGAGCATGTGCTGCCTCACATGAGGGTCAGAGGCTTTGCCAGTGACTAAATTCCATAGGACTGGGTAATTCCCACCCATGTACCCAAACAGCCTTATCAGTCTCTGTCAGAATGGGAATGTTCTTCTTGTGTCTGTGTCCCTTTCTTTCCTGCCAGAAAAATGCTTAGGACTGTTCTTGACAACCAAAATCCAGGCTCATCTTGTCTTTGACACACGGGGCTGGAGCTGTCACACGGGGAGCTGACGTCATCTGTTGTTCTCAGAGCTTCCCTGGATGTGTCTGGATGGCAACAGCTCACCAGGAACAGGCTCCCCAGGGCAGTGGGCACGGCCCCAAGGCTGCCAGAGCTCCAGGAGGGTTTGGACAACGCTCTGAGGGACAGGGGGCATTGTTGGGGTGTCCTGGGCAGGGCCAGCGGTTGCACTGGATGGTCCTCGGGGTCCTTGCCAGCTCAGGGCATTCCATGATTCTCTGTGTTTCTCTGAAAAGTGTTCCTAATTTGCTTTTCCTTCAGGTCTGTCTCTTTTTTCCTCCTCTCCCAGGTCCTTGAACTGGGTGTTATCTTAAAGGAGTGTAACATCTCCTACACTGGAGTAAAAAATACTTCATAACAATGTTGATTTTCTGGGATTTTTAGTGATGGCCTTAGAAAACTTCCAGTGCTCATTTTTCCAGCTTTTTCTGGACAGGACTCTGGACTCTCAGGGATCTGGGTTGGAGTCTCATCCTGTGCAGACACAGACTCTGGCAACTGGAACTTGAGAGGATTGAGAGGCACAGGCTGATTCCTCTTATCTGGAATTAATTCCCAGCAGAGCCTGGGCTGCACATTCATTCCAAATCCTGTCTGCAGAGACACTGCCAAATCAACTCCATTATTGCTCTCCAAGCTTCACACACGTGCCCTGAGAGCAGCCCCACCCTCGGCACTGGTTCTGGGGAGGCTCCTTTGCTGTTCCACCCACAGCAGTTTGGAGGATGTGGCATTATTTTGGGTAGTGATCTGTATCTCTCTGTCTCCCTGTGTCCCCCCATAGGCCAGAAGCAAACTGTCTCTCATGAGAACTGGTTCCTGTCACCTGAGGAATATGAAACATGGGACAGACTCTACAGGATTAAGGAGAGTGATGGAATAAAGGAACCGGTGTTGCCTCAAACTCAGTTTGCAACCTTAGAAAACCTGGAAGAAATACCAGTGAGTTTGACTTTAATGTCGTATTTCCTTTGCATGAGGCCTGAAGGACACTGTAAATAACAGAGGTAACTCTGAGTTTGAAGGAGGTCTGTGTTAAAAAAACCATTTTGAGATTTACGTGCAGGTTTTGAGGTGAGGAATTTAGCAGTGAGATGTTTGAAATGGGTCACTGAGGTTTGGGTCTGTAAATCAAAAATATCCCAAGAAGTCTCTCAGTATCCATTAAGTTCTGTTGCTGTTCTTAAGAATTCCGGGCAGGATGCTGCATTCACAGAATCCCTGGATGGTTTGTGTGGGAAGGGATGTTGAAGCTCATCTCACCCACCCCTGCCACGGGCAGGGACACCTCCCACTAGCCCAGGGTGCTCGTGAAGTTTTAACTTTGGACCAGAATTAAACTTTTATGATGTTGTTTAAATACTTCTCTGCATTTCAAGTCCTGCCAGAGGAGTGGCCGAGTCCTGCTGAGCAATACCTTGACTGCAGCATCCTTTCCACCTTCCTTCCCACGGCAGGAGCAGCAGGATCAGCAGCAGGAGCAGCAGGAGCAGGGGGCAGTCCAGCTGCTCTCCCTGTGCGAGTGGAGCCTTTGGCAGAGCCAGCCCTTCCCCACCGCCCTGGTTGGGCACTCGGAGCCCTGTCACCATTTCATCAGCCTCATGGAAATGATGGAGCAGATGAGGCAGGAGCAGGTAAGGCTGGCTGGAAACCTGCCCAAGGATTGCGTGCACAGCTGGAGGAGGTAAAAAATCATGACAATTCCAGAAAAAAGCAAATTGCAGAAAGAATTATGTGTGTTTGATCTTGTTCCAAAGTGTCTCCCCCTGGTATTCCGTGACTCCTGATCTTTACCACAGAAGTGGTTTCCAAACAGTTGGTGTTTCCTTACACAGGAGAAAACCCCCCACCCTTAAATCAGTCTTTTTTTTATGGATCCAAGTATCAATTTATTACAGAATAACATTACATACAAGAACTTAATATATGCCAAGAAGCCAAGCCACCAAGAGGGATATCAGAGCTATTCCAGAGGGTAACAGGGATTGGAAGTAACTCTGTGTCATGTAGGTTCATCAAAACCATCCCATAGAAGTGATGCAGGAATGTATTCATGTTCTAAGGGGATTGTTTGGAGGATTTTGGGGTTGTTTTCTTTGAAAGCTTTAACTGAAAACCTAATTGCTCCTAAGAACTAAAGGATAAGGGGAGAGCAGCCAAACAAGCATGAATGAAAGCCATTGGGGGGTGGGAGTTTTGTTTGCTGACTGGTATGGATAGCAAATATCCCTCAGAGGGAAAGCCAAGGAAAAAGGTGTGGAGTAGGTGGACACTTCAGCTGTTGCCACACTATTTTCCCCTCCAGTTGAGCTCTTCTGTGTTCCCCAAATATTGCCTTTTGGTGTGTGAAAGTTTTTTAGGTCATCAGAATGTGTTGCTAAGCTGCCAGAGTTTCCTGAATAACAGGACTAATCAAGGAAGAGAATGGAGACATTGTAGTTGTACTCCTTGCTAGGAAGGAGCATGAAAGGGAGGCTGTAAATAGACTTTCTGAGCTCAGATAAGCTGCTCCTTCACACAACAATGACATTCCCGACTTCTCTGAGAGTCCCTGGTGCAGCTGGGGTCAAGGGTGTGCTGCAGAGAGAGAGGGCTCAGGGACAGGTCAGGGACAGAGAGGAGAAAGGAGTCAGGAGGGAATCAGGAGGCAAAGAAAAGGTTCAGAAATTAGAAGGTCCTCCCTGAGCCTCCTTTTCTCCAGGCTGAGCCCTTCCAGCTCCCTCAGCTGCTCCTGGTGCTCCACAGTGAGAGTTCCAGGCATTATCTGGATTGACTCCCAGCCAGCTTTGTCTGAGCTGTCCTGACTAGTCCAAGGTGGAGACGCTGAGCTCTCATCAGCGAGAGGAGGATTCCTGGCTGGATGATGGTTGCCCCTGGATCCCTGGAAGTGTCCAAGGCCAGGTTGGAGCAGCCTGGGCTGGTGGAAGGTGTCCCTGCCCGTGGCAGGGGTGGCACTGGGTGGGTTTGAGGTCCCTCCCAACCCAAGCCATTCCAGGATTCCATGCTACTGTGCCCACTGAGTGCCCCCCCAACCCTCCATGGAGCGGGCTCTGTATTGTTCCTCTGCTCCAGGCTGGCCCAGCTGGGGAGCAGATCCCTGCAGGACTGAACAGAGCTCCCTTGTCTCTCCACCCTCCTCGTGCTCCAGCCCTGTGACACTTTTGGCCGCCTCTGCTGGACTTGGTCCAGTTCCAGAATATTCCTTGTCCTGGGGGCCCAGGACCAGCCCAGGCTGTGCCCAGGGGGGGTCACAGGGGATGGAGAGAGGACAGCCCTGTCCCTTGGCTGGGGGCTGCCCTGCTGTGGGTCCTGCCTGTGGCCATCCACACTGCTCCTGTCCTCAGGGCTCTGTCACCCCACTGGGGACCCTCTGCACAGCACATCGCTGTTGCAGGCAAAGTTGTTCCCATCAGGATCTTCAGAGAATTAGGGAAGGTTTTCCCAAAGCTGGTTCTGGCACATAGCCCATGGCCAGCCCCACGGGGAGCCATGAGAATCACTACACTCATTTGTTTTGCCTAGAGGGCTTGTTCTTAGGAGAAAAGTATTAATTAAAACAGCAGAAGAAGAACAAAATTAAAGAAATTCAGGGATTTGTAGGCAATGTTTGATTTTCTGCACACCTATCAAGTCATTTTCCTATAGTTGGGTCTGTGCTGGGTGCATTCCTGACTCTGATGGGTGTCCATCCCCTGAGCAGCAGGAAGGGATGTCCCTCCAGCCTCTGGGACGTTTCCCTTGAGCAGGAATGAAGCCTGAAAAGAAAAATCTAGCTAGTATGTTAGTCCTGTGTGCAAAGTGGATGGAAGAACAACTACTTTAGCAGGGATTTAGTGAAAGGCTGGGAGAATTGGGGTTGTTCAGCCTGGAGAAGAGAAGCTCTGGGGTGACCTGACTGTGGCCTTCCAGGACCTGAAGGAGCTACAGGAAACATGGAGAGAGACCATTGACAAGGGATGGAGGGACAGGACACAGGGAATGGCTTCCCACTGCCAGAGGGCAGGGAGAGATGGGAGACTGGGAAGGAATTGCTGGCTGGGAGGGTGGGCAGGCCCTGGCACAGGTTGCCCAGAGAAGCTGTGGCTGCCCCTGGATCCCTGGAAGTGTCCAAGGCCAGGTTGGAGAAGCCTGGGCCGGTGGAAGGTGTCCCTGCCCATGGCAGGGGTGAAATGGGATCATCTTTAATGTCCCTCCCAACCCAACCCATCCCAGGACTGTGACTGGAGGATTTGTGTGGATGTGCTGTGTATCCAGCTTCCTGCTATAAATATTCCCTGGATAAATGTTCCCAGCTGACCTGGCTGCTGTTTATTTGTGCTGCTTAATAGCAGAGGGGTAAAGACCAATAGGGTCAAAGCTGCTTCCTTAAATACCTGAGGTATGAACCTCACACCACTGGTCTACTGATTATTTATTTGCTGAGGCACCAAATCCTCCTGTGAGTAACCAAATGATCTGGGAGGTTCTGAGGAAATCAGTTCTTGGGCAGAATCTCAGTCAGAGGTTAGTCATAGCTTAAGAGGAGCCAGCTCAGGAGGTATTTGTGTGGGGCTTGGGGTGGGGTTTTTTCCTATTAGAGAAGAAATTCAGCCAGAAATTTACCCATGTTTGGCTTTCCTTTGCTTGTTCTCATTCAAGGATTCAAGAAACAGTTGAGTTTTGCATAACAGATTTAAGAAATGTCAATTTAAGGGCTTGTGTTTAAAGGAGATGAAGTGAAAATGGGTAGGAAAAAAATTCTATTGTATTTATATGCTCTTAAAAACTTAGGGAAGAGGTTGGCCTGGTGAAAAGAAAATAAAAAGTCAAAGAAACCCCAAATGTGATCCCTGGAAGAGGCACATCCACTGCAGCAAAGCCTTTAATGCCCGTGGGCTTTATTCCTGCAGCAGCACAGCCGGGCAGATGGGGGGATTTACTCCCAGGGGGATTTTTGGTGTGACAAGGGAACCAATCAGGTTGTCCTTCTGCAAAATAATTCAATCTCTTGTAAGCATTTTTTGAAAATTAAACCGTGCTGTTTGGAAACAAGGTTGGGGCAGGGTAATCCTTTTTATGGGAATGGTATTTGAGCTTCTGAGGATGAGGGACAGGGAACAGGGAAATGGAATGCTGTGGTTTTTCCTGGGAGACAGGTAATGCTTCATTTTGTTGATTATTAATTCTAATTTACAGGGGGAGGGTGACTGGATATTTCCCAGTCCAAAGCTGGCAGTGGGAACTCAGTGAAAAATTAATCCCAAATTCTCCCATTAGAGGTTTGTCTCTGTTTTCCACTCCAAAAACCCCTGGGGAAACTTCTTCCCAAGGCAGGATGAACCTGGAACAACTGCCCCTGAAGTCATGTGTGGTTTGTCCTCAGTCCTGGGCTGCCCCCAGGGCTCCCCAGCTGAACTCCCTGACAGCAGGGAAATGTTCCCAGGAGACCTGACACCCCAGTGAACCTGAAAAGCCTTCCCTTGCTTTGAGAGCTCTGACCAGATGGGTTTTGGGGGAAAACACAACATTTCCAACCAGCTGGGACTTGCTTCTCAGGAGCCCCTGAATGCAGAGTTAAAAATGGTTCAAATAGGACAAGGAAATAGTTTCACTGTTTTTTTAAGACTCTCCTTGCCAATAGTTTGGCTAAAATCCTCCTCTGGGGGAGGGAGAGGATTCTGCCCCAGCAAGGAATAATGTCAGGCAAGGTGTGGGGGGTTGGGTTGGGTTTGGAGGGTGAGCTGGGAAGAACCTGTGAGCCCCAAAATCTCAGCCCTCCAGTTCAGATGGTTTCTGTACATTGATTCCTCTGACCTGTGCCAAATGATTTGAGTCTGAGCGTTAACTGAGACCTGGGTTGGGTTGTTCAGACCTTGGATTGCAGGTGCTTTGTGGCTCAGCACGGGGGGATTCTCCTGCTGTTGCCTTTTGGGTTCGTCCCATTGGTTGTTTGGGGATGTCTGGGTGGGTGCAGGAACTTTGCATTTCAGGTTCTGGGTGTAAAATCCTGCTCTGTTGTTTTTCAAACTGTCAAAATGTCTGTAAATGTGAATAATTGGTTGGTTTGTCCCTTAAGCTTTCACAGCAGATTGATTTGCAGGGCTTTGACAGGAACTGGCAATTCCAGGATAGGCCTGGAACTCTGGCAGGAGCTGCTGGACAACAAATGGCTTTGGGAGTAGGATTTGTGTTTTCACAGGGAGAGGGACTGGGGACAAGGCATGGAGGGACAGGACACAGGGAATGGCTTCCCAGTGCCAGAAGGCAGGGAGAGATGGGAGATTGGGAAGGAATTGCTGGCTGGGAGGGTGGGCAGGCCCTGGCACAGGTTGGGCAGAGAAGCTGTGGCTGCCCCTGGATCCCTGGAAGTGTCCAAGGCCAGGCTGGAGCACCTGTGCTGGTGGAACCCAAACTGTCCATGATTCCATGATGATAATCACACTGATGTGGAATATTGAACTGCACCTGTCTGGATATTCCCATTCCCATGATGGTTTTGGTATTGGCCTGGCAGCACTGTAAGCTCAGGGCATGGAATCCTGGAATGGTTTGGGTTGGAAGGGACCTCAAAGCCCATCCAATCCCACACCCTGCCACGGGCAGGGACACCTTCCACCAGCCCAGGCTGCTCCAACCTGGCCTTGGACACTTCCAGGGATCCAGGGGCAGCCACAGCTTCTCTGGGCAACCTAATGTATTTCCTGATGTGCTGGAACATTCACTCTCACTTCTTCAACCTGTTTAGTGATGCCTGTTCCCATATTTGCAGGGTACATATCCTGTATTTCACTAATAATCTTTCTTTTTAGGGATCTTTGAGTGTTTTTATTGTGTAGCTGAAAGCAAAAAGTATCAGAATTAGTAGATACATCAATAATGTGATACCATCAGGAAGAGAATTATCCCAGCTTTTGTGGAAGGAAGTTGGGGGTTCTGTGCCCCTCAGGCTTCTGCCATGGCTCAATACATTTTTAAATTAATTATCTAAATACATTTTTAAAGACCATCTCATGTACTGTACTTAAACTTCCAAAAAAAGGCTTTTGACAGTGTTTCTTCCCCTGGAGTGTCTTGTGGAGATGAAGCAATCGTGGAGCAGGGATTGGTTATTGTGCTCATTGAGCAGCTCCTGGCAGGTATAAACACATCATGGCCTGTTGAGAGGGAGGGGCAGTCCCAGGGCACCGAACTGTCCAGCCTGGCTGGGACTGGGCCGGGCAAGGGAGCGCTTGGACAGCGGGAAACGGGATCTGTGGGGAAGGGAGTACAGGCTGATCAGGAAGAACTCCTGGAATCGTGCACTGCTTTGGGTTCCTTGGGCAAGGACACCTTCCACTGGAATCACAGGATTTCCTTGAATCCTGGTGTTGGGAGGGTGGTCGTGGCTGGGGCGTTGGAACCGCAGCACCTGCTGGCCCAGACACACCGAGGGGTGGGAACGCTGCATGGATTCACTCCAGCTCTCCACTAAAGAAGCTTTGGTTGGTGAAACCTGCATTGTATCTGCCCCATTAGTTTTAATTTCCAAATAGCAAACCCCCCAGGGTTTTGGCAGGGAGCTGAATTAGCAAATGTCCTCCCAAAGCAGCTTATGGGGACAGAGAGGGGAATGTCAGTTTGGGAGTTGATGCCTTACATTTGAATGCTGGAAAACAGGACGTGTGTAATTACACAGGGATTTCTGTATCAAACACCACCATTTTCATACATTAAGGGCTTTTTTCCCTTTTCATTTGCTGTATTAAAGCCTGTCTTGCTTTTCAGCCTGACTCAGGGTCATTGATTTAGCCCAACAGTCTAAGATGTTTTGCTGCTCCTGCCTGACCTATTTGCAGAGTGGCTGGTACACCCTGGAGCTGCCAGGGGGCTGAGCAGGTGATTTAAGGTTCCCCCCCTCGTGCACACTGAGGCTCCAGTGTGGTCATTAGGGCTGTGCCCTTTGCCTGCAGCAGCATTAGCTGGGCACAGCCTTTTCCGAGGCCGTGCCTGGAATGCCCTGCAAGTGGAGCAGTTACATAAGGCCGTGTGAGCTCGCTCGGGTTCCTGAGCCCTGCCCTACATGCTAAATTTGGCTGCTGGGCTGGCGGCCGGGCACCCTGCGGCACTGCCAGGCTCCGGGGGCTCTGTGTGCCGCGGCAGGGCACAGCCCTGGCTGGGCAGGGGGCGGGGGCTCTCGCTGTAGGGACCCCTCCCTGCTGCCCTGTGCTGTGGGACAGTCCCACAGCCCGGGATGGCTGCGGGGGAGGGACCTCAGAGCCCAAAGAGTGCCACCCCTGCCCTGGGCAGGGACTCCTTCCACTGACCCAGGGTGCTCCAGCCCGGCCTTGGACACTCCCAGGGATCCAGGGGCAGCCACAGCTGCTCTGGGAAACTTGATTAGTTTGGGGGTTTGTAGGTTTGGGGTTTGTAGTTTGATTGAGTTTGGGTTTGTAGGTTTAGGGTTTGTAGGTGGATTTGGTTTGGGTTGTAGGTTTGGGGGTTTTATGTTTGGGGTTTGCAGTTTGATTAGTTTGGGGTTTGTAAGTTTGGAGTTTGCAGTTTGATTAGTTTTGAGTCCGTAGGTTTGGGGTTTATACTTCAATTAGTTTTGGGTTTATAGGTTTGGGATTTGTAGTTTGGTTAGTTTGGGATTTATAGGTTTGGGGTTTGCAGTTGGGTTAATTTTGGGTTTGAAGGTTTTGTGGTTTGTAATTGGATTAGTTTTGGGTTTATATGTTTGGGGTTTGCAGTTTGGCTAGTTTTGGGTTTGAAGGTTTTGTGGTTTGTAATTGGGTTGGTTTTGGATTTATAGGTTTGGGGGTTGCAGTTTGATTAGTTTTGTGTCGCAGAACAATTTAAGGCTGGCTGTGCAAGCTGGGCTGTTCCTCAGCTGAACACTCCGGCATTGCCACGTTGGCTCCTCCCCAAACCACCTCCAGCACTCACACAGGGCACTTCTGGCTCCTGCTGGCCCTGGGATTTCACCAGAGAATCCCAGACCTGGATTCTGTGCTTTGGCTGAGCTTGAGGGAACCAATTATTGGAACCTGCCCTATCAAAGCGCTCCTTTAACCCTCTCACAGCACTTCTGTTCTTCACTGCTATGGAATGAAGTCAGTTTTATCACCCAAGGGACCTTGTTTTGTTTCAGGGCTTGAGGAGTCCAGGGGTTCATCTCACTGAACTGCCAAAATATAATCATATAATGATTGTTCCTTCTGTTTAGTTCTTACATCCTTATTTTTATTGCCATTTATTGTAATTAGTGAAACAGGTTGGAACTCCAAAGGAACATTCCAAACCATTGCCTCCAGAGCCCCTTTGGGCCCTTGCTGTCGCTTTGCAGGCCTTAATTTTGAAACCTTCGTTTAAAAAAGGGGGTGAGAAGGGCAGTAAATGAACAGCTTCTCCATCCAGGAGTCCTTTGTGCATCCCTCACTGGGGGTGGTGTCCAAGTCTGCTGTGCTTTTTCCAGGTGTGTGTTTGGAAAAGCTGGTTCCCTTTGGAACAGAGGATTGATTGGCCCAGGGAAAAAGCAGTTGAGGGTGTGTGAGTGAGAGGTTGTTCAGGAGAATGAAAGCTTTGGCAGTTGTGCCCCGTGCTGGGGTCCTGTGTGTACTGATGGTGTGTCTCTAGTAAATGCTGCCCTGTGTTTGTCCCAGGGAGACTGCAGCTATGGACGGGAGCTCCAGCCCCACTTACATGTGGAAGATGTAAATATTCCAGGGAATAAAAGGCATCTCCACACGACCAACTCTAGCTGGGGTCAGAGAGCACGATCCTCCAGGAAAGATGTGGCACACTCATCCAAAAGGAAACCATTCCTGCCTGATGGGGGTGATAATGAGAGTGAACTCTTCACCACCTTTAAAATAACCAAGCCAAAGCCTCCCAGAAGAACTCCTGGATCCAGTGTGGGAGTGGGTCCTTCGGCTTCTCCCTCGGGAGGGATTGCTCTGGATGAACAGCCTGACCAGGACACTGAGAGGGACGAGGAGCTGGAGGTGACATTTGACTTAAATGCAGTTATTGACCTGTGTGACAGCAGTGACAGCACTGACATTGCTGACAGTCCAGCAGCTCAGGGAAATAAACCTGCAGGCAAAGCTCCTGCATCCCTGGGGATGCTCCCTGGGGACTCGGGGTACGAGACATCCCCAGTGTCCTCGGACTTGTTCTATCTCCCCGAATCCTACAGGGATTCACTCGGGACACCGTCCCAGGAGCCTCCTGGCTTACAACTGACATTGTCCCGTGTGCAGAGGCTTTTGTCACAGTCCCCTCCCCCCATTCCCTCCTGGAATGAACTCGAGGACTTGGAGAACATGGTGAGCAATGAGGAAGCAGTGTGTCCTGTCCCAGAGGTTATCCCCGAGGGCCACTCCGTGGGACTGCAAGACAAAGCCTTCTCTGTGTCCTCAGAAGCTGATCCTTCACTGCTGCTCGTGGAAAATCCCAAAGTGAACGTCCCCAGGGAATTCTGTGCTCCAACAAGTCCCCGTTTGTCCAAAACTGCCTCATCTTCCAAGGCTGCTGTTGTTGAAGAGGAGCATGCCTGGAATGACAGCTTTGATGGGCTGTTTGACAACGAGGAATTCCCTGACATCCAAGGGAACCCTCCAGCCACAACCCCCCCTTCAAACAGGCATTTTGTGCACAGAGACACTGAAGGTGTTGTTGGTGGAGAGCAGAGCATCCGTTTGTTTGAGGATGAGCCTGTGGATGGCACTGGGGACGGCGGGTTATCCGTGAGCGAGGAGCCTCCAGCTGGGTCAGAGCCAGGTGGGAATGTCATCGGGACAGATGGAGAGCGAGGATCCCGGGGGGCTCCCTCAGAGAGGCCCTGTGTGAACTCCAGCAGCTGCAGGGAGCAGCCCCAAAGCAGGAACTCCATGGAAACTGCCGGAGTGCCCGAGCAGGGCCTGGAGAACGAGGATCTGTACGACTGTTCCCAGGAGCTGTTCTCCGTCACCTTCGACCTGGGCTTTTCCATCTCAGACAGTGACAATGAACCCCCTGAGGAGAACAGGAACACCGAGAGCACCAGCAAAGCAAACGGTGCCTCAGGGAGGGGGACAGGGGCAAAATCCACTGAGGATGGAGAGATATTCCAGAGCGATGGTGCCAGGCTGGAAACCTCACCAGAATGGGATTGCAGAGGTCTGGGGAGAAGAGCCATTTCCACACCGCTGCCACTGCAGAGCAGGGACGTGAGTGACAGGGAAGGGCCAGAGCCTGCTCCTGCTGCAGTGCCTTTCCTCAGGTCAGGAGGCAGGAGAACGGCAAGGGGATCACCTGAACCTTTGCCTTCGGCACTGTCGACCCCGGTAAGCAGGAAGGGTGGGAATGTCCAAGCCATCAAAAGGGTTCCTAGGAAAGTCTTCTCCAGTGCCAGGGAGGAGACTCCAGAGGTGCCTCTTGGAGGTGAAGTCCCTAAAAGCCCACGTGGGCAGAATTTTGGGAGTTCAGCTGTGGATTCCCCGTTAGGAAGAACTGCAGAGCTGGAAGACACCGCCCTCCGTGGATCCCGGGTGTGTCCAGGTAGGGATTTCAGTGGGACGGGTTTGGTCCCTTCATGTTTGGTCAATAGGATCCGGTGTCTTTTGGATCCTCAGTTTGGTCTTGTCGGTGAGGTGGGAGGGCTGAAAGGAAAAGGAGTGATGGCTGCAGTACTGGAATTGGGTGGATGAGGAGACTTCACCCCACATCCAAGGAAGACCTGGGAATTAAACCTCCTGAACCTCCTCACGGATGTTAAAGCCATGGGAGATGTAACTGTGTGAGTTACAGCTGCCTTCAAAGCCCTTTCTTAATCTCCTCAGGATCTGATTGGTACTCCTCTGGATCTATTGATCCCTGAATCCATACCTTCGTGTTTTCCTGTCACTGTTCCTGAGGAATGGAAACTCTACTGATGGATTTCTTTCCCTTTACTCACTTGTCAACTGACTTGTATTTAAGATTTTCTGAGATCACAACTTCAGCACAAACCTGGGCTCTCTTACAGGATCCCAGAAGGGTTTGGGTTGGGAGGGACTCCCAATCTCATGGTGTCCCACCCCTGCCCTGGGCAGGGACACCTTCCATGCCTTGTCCCCAGTCCCTCTCCAGCTCTCCTGGAGCCCCTTTAGGCCCTGCAAGGGGCTCTCAGGTCTGCCTGGAGCCTCCTCTTCTCCAGGGGAACCCCCCAGCTCTCCCAGCCTGGCTCCAGAGCAGAGGGGCTCCAGCCCTGGGATCATCTCCGTGGCCTCCTCTGGACTCACAAACACCGTTCCTTGGCTCCATTCCATGCACTCAGAGGGCTTTGGGTCACAAAGTGCTGCCACAAGTGCAACTCTTTCTCAGCTTTTAAGGGCTTCTTCTCTTGGTTCTATGTTTTCCTTCCCTTTTTCCGTCTCTGTGCTGCCCAGGGTAATCACTCCCATCCCAGAGTCTCCAGGGAAGCAGGATTTATTGTACATCCCAGCTGGAGATTATCTATTTTGATTAACAAGGCTAAAGAGAACAATATTTGTCCTGTGGATCAATAAATAATCTCCTTTGGAGGTACTTTTGTGAGAGAGGCAGGTTTTGATTGCTCAGTTATAGCAATATTGTGTTGTGAACTGTGCAATTCCCAGTGAATGTTGTTTACTCTTTTTGCTGCAGGAACCAGCAGTGAGAGTGAGGAGGAGATCGTTTTCCAGAGAAAAAACAGGATGAAAAAGAATGTTCTGAGGTCTCCTGATGTGAGTCTTAGAAAAAGAAAATAGGCAAGAGAAGCAAAATGACAACTGAAAGAGCAAGGCGCAAGTGCTCAGTGATGGTCATTGCTGTTCCCACAGGGCATGGACGACAGTGACTTTGAGCCCCCCCAGCACCGCCTCACCAGGAAGCGCCGGCACCCCCCGAGCGTGGTCAGTGAGGGCTCTGGGAAACGGGGGGGATAATGGGAACCCATCCCTGCTTCCCTCCCCCAGTTCTCCCCCAGCCTGCAAAGATCACGGGATCTCAGAAGGGTTTGGGTGGGAAGGGACCTTGGAGCCCATCCAGTGCCACCCCTGCCATGGGCAGGGACACCTTCCATGAGCTCAGGGCTGCTCCCAGCCCCAAAAGATCAGTCACAGGAAATCAGGTGTTGCTTAAAAAGCAAACCTTCAAGGATGACTCCTCTGCTCTGGAGCCAGGCTGGGAGAGCTGGGGGTGTTCCCCTGGAGAAGAGAAGGCTCCAGGGAGACCTGAGAGCCCCTGCCAGGGCCTAAAGGGGCTCCAGGAGAGCTGGAGAGGGACTGGGGACAAGGCATGGAGGGACAGGACACAGGGAATGGCTTCCCACTGCCAGAGGGCAGGGAGAGATGGGATATTGGGAAGGAATTGCTGGCTGGGAGGGTGGGCAGGCCCTGGCACAGGCTACCCAGAGAAGCTGTGGCTGCCCCTGGATCCCTGGGAGTGTCCAAGGCCAGGCTGGAGCACCCTGGGCTGGTGGAAGGTGTCCCTGCCCATGGCAGGGGTGGCACTGTAGGGGCTTTAAGGTCCTTCCAACCCAAACCAGTCTGGGATTTACGACTGTAATTAAAGCATTCCTTGCTTCCCCTGACTCTGAGGGGTGTGTTCCCTGTTCCCAGTCAGAGTCCAGCGATGACAGTGGGGATTTTGCCCAGAACTGGAGCAGGACCACGAGGAGCAGCTCCGCAGCCCGGAACAAACCCCGGCCAGGACGTGCCAAGCGGGTCAGGAACAGTCCCACATCCAAGGTGTGTGACTTCACGTGTCTCTCCTGGTTTGGGAAGGTCGTGTTGGAGCAGTTGGCACTGCTGGATTTGGGATGTGGGCATGGAGCTGGGCACTCTTTGCTGGTAGGACACTCTCCAGGAGGGCTGAGGCTCAGCTGTTCCACACCAGAGCATTGCAGATGTTGGAGCTGAAGTCTTGGAACTGGATAAAGACCTGAACCCTGCCATCCGTTGCTGGCTGTCAGGGTCTGCAGGGTCCTGGAGACACAGTTCTGAAACCAAATAACAATGTCCATTTTACAATCTTCAGCAATACTCCAGGATTGGTCAGCTCTGGGAGCTCAGGGTCTTGCCCAGAAATTAATATTTTTATAATTATTTGCATTGGGATACTTGATCATATGAATTTACCCCATACTTTGAACATTTAAGGCAGCAATGGTCCCTCAACCCCAAATCTTAAATCTTAGCTCAGATACTTTAGTCCATCATTGCAGCAGGAGAGGAAGCAGGGCCAGAACCATCATAAGTAAAAAGCTCCTAAATATTTGTGGCTGTGGTTCCACTGGGCAGAAATTGCCATAATCAGGCTCCAGGGCACAATACATTGGATAGTTTTGATGTTCTAAAGATAATCTTCATTATCCAACCTTCCCTACAGTATCAGTGTTTTGTGTTCTGGGATACAAAGAATGAGGTGGATTAAAATCCATCTTTCAGTTCAATTGAAACATTTTTTTAATGTGACACCAAAAGGATCATAGAAAAAGTGTGTCTGCTAAGAAATTCTCCTGTGCCTTCACACTGACCTTCCCTAAACATCCATAGTGTTGGGCAGGCCACAATTCCAGATCCACAGGAGATCCCAGGCATTAAACCCACTGTGAGCAGTCCACAGCAGTCAGGGAGCCCTGTCAGGAGAGATCTGCAATGAGGTCAGCACAGATCTGACCAGAGCAGCCCCTGGCCCTGGACCCAGTAAATCATCTGAGGAGCTGGCACCTGAACAGGAAAGGGCAAACCGAGGGGGGTCAGGGTCTGAAGTCCCCACTGGATTTGGGTTTGGGGGAATCCAGCCCTTCAAAAGGAAACCAGGTTTCTGAAAGCAAATCAAAAGAGTAGAACTGGATGTGTGAGCTGTGAAGCCAAGATGGCCTCGGGCAGCTCAGCCCCCCTGCTGGTGGCTCTGCCTCTGCTGTTCCCCTCAGGATTGCCTGTCCCAGGCCAGGGCCCGGTGCCTGTGGGGATCAGCAGATGGCTGGGGGGATCAGGGGTCTGGGGACAGCACTGTTCATTAGAACCCCCTGCAAGGCCCCTCTGTTGCAGGCTGCAGCCAGGCAGTTCCTGCAGGAGGAGGCAGAGCTGTCCCAGCACGGCACAGAGGGGCTGTCGTCGGACGAGAGCGATGGGACCGAGGATGAGCTGAGCTCCTCCATGGCCCAGTTCCTCAACGACGAGGGGGAGGTCACACAGGCCCTGAACGGTGAGTGGGGAGCTGTGTGGGACTCCAGATCCCTGGGGGGTGCATGGGGTGGGATGGGCATGGACGGGGGGAATGAGCAGTGACCTCCTCACCTGGGCTGAGGGGCTGTTCCTGCCATGGCATCCAGAACTTTGCCAGCTTGGCAAACCTTCTGCAGCCTCAGGGAGTGCAGGAGCTGTGCCAGGGAGGGTTGGATCTCAGGACAAGGCTCTTCCCCCAGAGGGTGTTGGCACTGAACAGGCTCCCCAGGGCAGTGGCCACAGCCCCAAGGCTGCCAGAGCTCCAGGAGGGTTTGGACAATGCTCTGAGGGACAGGGGGAGTGTTGGGGTGTCCTGGGCAGGGCAGGGGTTGCACTGGATGATCCTACTGGGTCCCTTCCAGCTCAGGATATCCTGGGATTCCATGGCAGCTTTCATGAGAGCAAGCTGGGGACATTTAGAATCCCAGAATGGTTTGGGTTTAGAAGGGACCTTAAAGGCCATCCAGCGGGCAGGGACACCTTCCACCAGCCCAGGTTGCTCCAAGCCCTGTCCAGCCTGGCCTTGGACACTTCCAGGGATCCAGGGGCAGCCACAGCTTCTCTGGGCAACCTGTGCCAGGGCCTGCCCACCCTCCCAGGGAAGGATTCCTTCCCAATATCCCATCTAACCCTGCCCTCCTTCATCTCAGAGCCCTGGGGCTGTGCTTTGGGATTCCCAGAGGTGGATGGAGAACTGCAGATTTTTGTCTGGGGAAATACAGGTTTCTGGGAGAGTATCAAGGCATGACTGAATATGGAGAACAGTGTGACAAGAGTGAATGAAAGGTTATCTCTGCAATGACACCGTGTTCCCTCTCCTGTGGGCCAGACTCAGAGATGCAGGCGCTGTACCTGGAGTCCGTGCGCAGCCCCGCCCTGGGCAGCAGGGGCAGGAACGTCCGTCGGGAATTCAACAGCTCGGCCATTTTCTCACAGGTGTGGAGTGACCTCTGTCCTTGGGAATTCCCATTGCTGGGAGCACATTTAGGTTCCAGTCCTGTTCTGGGGTTTAGCTGGTATTTTTTGGTAAATAACAAGTTTTAACACAAGACTTCAGCCTGGAGAAGGGAAGGATCCAGGGAGACCTGAGAGGGGCAGGGCCTAAAGGGGCTCCAGGAGAGCTGGAGAGGGACTGGGGACAAGGATGGAGGGACAGGACACAGGGAATGGCTTCCCACTGCCAGAGGGCAGGGAGAGATGGGATATTGGGAAGGAATTGCTGGCTGGGAGGGTGGGCAGGCCCTGGCACAGGTTGGGCAGAGAAGCTGTGGCTGCCCCTGGATCCCTGGAAGTGTCCAAGGCCAGGTTGGAGCACCCTGGGCTGGTGGAAGGTGTCCCTGGGGTGGCACTGGGTGGGCTTTAAGGTCCCTCGACCCCAGACCATTGCATGTGTGAGAAGCCCCTCAGCCCCTGGTGTTGGATGAGCCAAGAGCCTCTGTGGGGAGGAGCAGCTCCATCATTCCACTGTTCCACAGCTCACTGGGATTGTTCTTCCTGCAGATTCCTGAGCAGGACCCGGAGTACATGGAGGACAGCTTCTGTGTGGGGGATGAGGAGGAGGAAGGCTGCAGACAGAGTGGTCCCAGTGAGGAGGAGGAGGAGGAAGAGGAGTGTGTGAGCATCAGTCTCCTCCCCAGGGACAGTTTCTCGGCTGGCCCAGGCCAGTACCTCACCCGGCACAGGACGAGACTGAACCAGGCCAGGCGGGAGCACAGGAGGAAACCATCCCGGATCAGGGTCCTCAGTGACTCCAGCGAGGAGGAGACGGCTGTCAGCAGGGAGGAATCCATGGAAGGCTGTTCCAGGGCGGAGCAGGGGAGTGCAGAGTGCCCTGAGCCCGCAGAGCCCCCTGCACAGCACAGCAGCCGTGCTGGGGCCGGCCCAGCTCCTCAGCCTGGGGAACCTCCCCCTGAGCACCACAGGGAGCTGCTGCCAGACCTGGAGCCTCTGGTGTGTGAGAGGCTGGATTTGCACCCAGCCCATCCCATCAGGAGCACATCCTTCCCACCAGCTGTCCCTGGCTCTGTCCAGGCTCCCAGTGAGGTCAGTGTCCGGTCACAACAGGGACCTTCCTCTCACCCCGCGTGGTGGGAGGGGATTCCTGGGGCAGGGCTGTTCTAGGGGCTGTCATAGCTCAGCAGCAGGAGTCAGGGAATCCTGGAATGGTTTGGGTGGGAAAGGACCTTAAAACCATGTTATTCCAGCCCCTCCCATGGGCAGGGACACCTTCCACTAGCCCAGGTCCAACCTGGCCTTGGACACTTCCAGGGATCCAGGGGCAGCCACAGCTTCTGGTGACACAGGAGCAGAGCCACTCCTGGTGCTGCTTCCCACCATCTCCCTTCCCTTTGCTGTTGCAGCTTTTGTACTGCCAGGGTATCCTGGAGTATCTCAGCAGCCAGTAAAGAAAAGCTGGGGATTAGATCATCTCCTGGGACTGACAGCCGTGGGGGAGCATGGATCTGTGTGGGACAGCTGAGTGTCCACCGACTCTGGGGGGTTTGTGCTTATAACATACCTGTTCACCATCCTAAATTAACTCCCTCCAGCCTGAGGCTGAGTTCCTGATCTCTCACCCTTCCCAGCCTGACTTCTGTCCTGTATATGGTCCAGGTTTTGCTGAAGTCATTTAGGGAAGCTGCTGCTTTTGTCATTCCAACTGCTGGATTGGGGGGTTAAAGTGTCAGTCTGAAAGTGTTAGTGTTTCAAAGCATCCTTTTATTAATTTGATTTAACCCCCTGCGATCTGTTACAGTCCCTGGGTGATCTCCAGCCCTCAAAGGTGAAGAGCTCCTGGAAGAGCCCCTGTGGGAGCACCTCAGATCCAGCGTGTCCTGCAGCCACAGACCCCTCCCCAGCCTCAGCCGGGTTCTGCCGTGAGCCTGCAGGGAAGGGCCCTTCCCTGAGCATCCTGGCAGACAGCAGGGAGATCTGCTGTGGGGCACAGGTGATCTCCTCCCTGAGGGCCGTGCACGGGCTCCGGGTGCAGGTCTGTTCCCTGGGCACCTCCGACTACATCGTCAGCACCCGCCTGGCCGTGGAAAGGACCTTCCAGTCGGAATTGCAGGGCCCTGGGAACAGGAACAGGCTGAGCCAGCGGCTGCAGCGCCTGCAGGGCCTGTTCCAGAGGGTCTGTGTCATCCTGGAGACGGATAGGACCAGACCAGGTGGGTGTTCCCAGGGGGGCAGCACAAGGGAATGGCTTCCCACTGCCAGAGGGCAGGGAGAGATGGGAGATTGGGAAGGAATTGCTGGCTGGGAGGGTGGGGAGGCCCTGGCACAGGTTGGGCAGAGCAGCTGTGGCTGCCCCTGGATCCCTGGAAGTGTCCAAGGCCAGGCTGGAGCACCCTGGGCTGGTGGAAGGTGTCCCTGCCTGTGGCAGGGGTGGCACTGGGTGGGCTTTGAGGTCCCTTCCCACCCAAACCAGTCTGGGATTGTGTGATAAAGGAACAAGCACAATCTTACCCATGCAGATAAATTTGTTCTAATCCAAATTACACAGTCAGATGGTTCCCCTGTCTGTTGCCAGGGCCATCTAGACAGTAACTGAGAGGTCTTGCTGCACCTGCTCCACAGATGAATGGGAGCTCAGATCCCTGATTCCATTACAGATGTAGGATATGAAACTCCACCACTGCAATCCAGTTGTTGGGGATGCAGCTTTGGCTTCATGGCTTCATGGCAAATCTCATCTATTGATAGTTCCCATATGGGAACACTGCTGGAGTGGTCCCTGGAGATGCAGCCCATTCAGTGCCACCCCCTGCCCAGGACAGGGACACCTTCCACTAGCCCAGGTTGCTCCAAGCCCCATCCAGCCTGGGATGTGTTCCCTTCCCATGTGTTTGGTTGTGAGTTCTTGAGTGAGGGATCCTGGAGCTGTTTTGCTTTGTGAACCCTCCCACTGGATTTTCACGGTGCTCCCTGGCCTTCCCCCGTGCAGGAGACGCGTCCCATTCGTTCCAGAGGACTCAGTACTACGACGGGGTGCTCTCGGCCCTGGTCCAGGCCGGCATCCGCATTCTCTTCAGCTCCTGCCAGGAGGAGACTGCTGTTCTGCTCAGGGACCTGGCCCTGCTGGAGCACAGCAAGGGAGCTGCCATCGGGGTTCCCACCGAGCTGGAGGGGCCCCGGCGGGACCTGCTGGGCTTCTACCTGAGCATCCCCCCCCTCAGCTACGTGGGGGCCCTGCAGCTCTGCCACTGCTTCGGCTGCCCCCAACAGCTGGCCAACAGGTAACACCTGGGGACACCCTGCCTGCCCCCTGCCCGGGGACACCCTGTCTGCCTGCCCCCTGCCTGGGGACACCCTGCCTGCCCCCTGCCTGGGGACAGAGCCTGCCTGCCCCCTGCCTGGGAATAGAGCCAGCCTGCCCCCTGCCTGGGGACACCCTGCCTGCCCCCTGCCTGGGAATAGAGCCAGCCTGCCCCCTGCCTGGGGACAGCCTGCCTGCCCCCTGCCTGGGGACAGAGCCTGCCTGCCCCCTGCCTGGGGACACCCTGCCTGCCCCATTGCTGGGGACAGAGCCTGCCTGCCCCATTCCTGGGGACACCCTGCCTGCCCCCTGCCCGGGGACACCCTGCCTGCCCCCTGCCTGGGGACACCCTGCCTGCCCCCTGCCTGGGAATAGAGCCTGCCTGCCCCCTGCCCGGGGACACCCTGCCTGCCCCATTGCTGGGGACAGAGCCTGCCTGCCCCCTTCCTGCTGGGGGAGCTGGGATCGATTTTCAGGGCCATCCTTCCTGCACCTTTCGAGCTGTATAACTGGGGAGATCCTTCCCATGCCTTTCCTGCTGGGATAGCTGTTCAGGGAGATCCTTCCTGCTGTGCCTTTCCTGCTGGGATAGCTGCTTGGGAAGATCTCCCAGGAGCTCTCCTGTCCAGTCTCATCCCTGCTCTTTATGCCCTCCAGTCTCTCCCACTAACTCTGGGCTCTGCTTCCCCCTCCCTCCTGCTGCCCCCCCGGGTCTTTCCCTTTGCCGTTCCTGTTCTCCCTGCAGTTCCCTGGCCTTGCTAGGTGTGCTCCCGGCAGCCCGGGGTGTTGCTGGTGCTGTATCCAGGGTGTCCCGTGGATCCAGGGCCCGGCTCACGGCCCTGCCCCTCTCTTGCAGCTCCCCCTTGGCTGTGGCTGCTGCGGCGCGGCTGAGCCTGGAGCGTGCTGAGGAGATCCAGCGGTACCTGCGCCACAGCTTCGACCCCCAGCTGCTGCCACAGCCCCCCCGGGCCAGCGGGAAGGGCCCCGCAGCCCCCCGGAGCTGAGGGCTGGGACTCGGGCCCTGCACTGCACTTTACTGGGGTTGGTGTCCGACCCAATAAACCCTTCCCAAGCACCGGGCTCTGGGAGCCGCGCCTGCCCGGGCTCCGCGGGGGGACCGGGGGGCCACACCCGGCACCGGCTGGGCTGGGCTGGGCTGGGCTGGGCTGGGAGCATCCCCACATTCCTTTGCAAAACACAGGAATGACTCCAGTGCCTCGGCAAAGCAAAGCTTTGGGGGTCACGGGAAGGAGCCCCCCGGCAGCTCCTGCAACGCCGAGACCCGCCTTTCCCGGGAAGAAAGGGAATTGCCCGCTGTTCCATGGGCCCAGGACACCGGGGTGTTGCTGGGTGGGCCCGGGGCAGGTCCCCTGTTCCTTGCGGGCCTCGTGTGCCCGTCCTGCTCCCTCGGCCCGGGCTGCAGGAGCTCGAGGGATCCTTCCCCGCCCGCGCGGCCTCTGCTGCCACACTGTGGCTGCCTGGAAAAGGACCGGGATCTTCACTCCCATCCCTTCCTGCTCACAGCTCTTTGCAGAGAGAGGCTGGAACAGGGATACATCACCTTCCTGCAATAAGAACGGGACACAGGGAATGGCTTCCCAGTGCCAGAGGGCAGGGAGAGATGGGAGATTGGGAAGGAATTGCTGGCTGGGAGGGTGGGCAGGCCCTGGCACAGGTTGGCCAGAGAAGCTGTGGCTGCCCCTGGATCCCTGGCAAGTGTCCAAGGCCAGGTTGGACGGGGCTTGGAGCACCCTGGGCTGGTGGAAGGTGTCCCTGCCCATGGCAGGGGTGGCACTGGATGGGCTTTAAGGTCCTTCCAACCCAAACCATTCCGAGTCCGTGATTCAAAACCAAGGGGATGAAGCCTTGAGGCCCCATCTGAAGCTGGACAGGTCATGGATTCTGCTGCCACACAAAGTCCAACGGATCCGTGAGTAAAATAAACTCATCCTTGTTTATTACATTCAGGAAATGTAAAAATTCAGACTCGCCCTTGGGGGCAGTAAAAAGCAGTTTCAGTTTTTTCCAGATCTTACCTGAATTTATTGTACATTCATATCTCAGGAGATATTTTATCTCAAAATGACCTTGCCAGTACATTTCTCCTTCCCAGGAGAAAAAGGCAACAGGAGCAGAAACAGGGGAGGAGGAGCTGGGCCAGGAAGTGCCACTTTGTACACATGGAAAACCCAAATAGTGCCAGCAAGATGGGAATGGGGTTAAAACACATAAAAAACAGATCAGGGAACATTTTCCAAATCGATCTTGTAATTCCAGCCCTTCCCTCCTGGAGGGGCGGCTGAACTGCAGACTCAGAGCGAGGCACCCAAGTGCTGAACCAAGAGATCCACAGACTTCATCACATGGAAAAATAGGAATCCTGGTCTTCCTCCTCCGAGGAGTCTCGTGTCTGAGCTCCAAAGAGCTTCCCCACCTCAGGGGCCTGGGCCACGTCTGCAATGGAAAACAGGGATCATCAGCGTGTCCGAAGAGGAAGAGCAGGGGGAGAAGGCCCAGACAGCCAAGATCGAGGGTACCCAGCAAGGCAGGGATGTGGAAGGAGGGAAAGAGCTGGGAATGGAGGAGGAGGAAGCAGGAATACTCACTGTTCTCCAGGCTGACCTTGGCCCGGCGGGAAGCCGGTGTCCCGAGCATGGCTCCGGCCTGGGGGAGGGAGGGAAGGACACGGGCTCAGCTCGGGGCCCTGCTGGGATGGAGCCACACCAGCCCTGTGCTACATCTTCCCCAAATTTGAACTGCTCAGCTGCCACAACTGCTTCCTCTGAACCAGGGGCACAAGGCACATTTCTGCTCCTGGGATCGTGGCTTTTCATGGAAAAGCCTGGAACTGCAAAAACTGGGATAGTGGAGGAATCAATACCTAAATTCAGGGAGTAGGATACAAAGGACCATTGCTATGGTCATGATCAGGAGTTGAGCTCCATGATCCCTGGGGGTCCCTTCCAACTCTGGATATTCCATGGTTACTCTTTTCCCACTGTTCAGAACAATGTTACAGGAACATAAAGACCACAGAATTCCAAAGCAGTTACAAATCCTGACCCAAAGCTGTGGCTTTAATCCTGACCATGAGCAGCTCCTTTCTAACCAAAGGGCCTTTTCTCCACAGCAGTAGAGACCAAACCCAGGAATTTGGGAGGAAGCTGGGAAGGGTTCCTGCTGTCCATCCCAGGGCTGTGTCTCCTGCAGGCCCAGCTGTGCCTGGCTGGGGTGGCACGGGGCAGAACTGGAGGGAAGGAGCATTACCGACTTCTTGTGCACCTTGTCCCAGGTGCCTCTGCTGCCCTGCGCCGCCTTCTGCATCCGCAACACGTGCCTGTCCACGTCCTTCCTGCGGGCCACAGGGAGCATTCAGGTGGTGCCACAGCCCCCACACCCTGCTGGGTGCAGCCACGGCATCACACCCAGCTCCAGCCCAGGGAATGGCATGGCCAGGGAACTGGCACAGCCCCAAGAGTCGGGTTAGATCAGCCCCAGGGACCGGAGCAGGGCCGGCAGGAGGGGCTGGGAGGGACCTGGTGTCCCACTTGCACGAGCTGCCTCCCTCAAAGGGATCTGGGGAAGAGCCAAAGGCCAAGGTTGGCAGACGAGCTCCTACCTGCTGCTGGGGGCCACATTCCTGGGCTGCTGTGCTGCACTGGGGGTTTCCCAGCTCCTACCTGTTGATGGGGGCCAGCATTCCCGGGCTGATGTGCTCGCACTGGGGGGTTTTGGCCAGCGGGAACACGGCTGAGCCGGGGGTGAGCGAGAGCTCCCCCAGGGTAAAGTCCTCAGGGTCGTCGTCCCGGAGCGTCGGCAGCTGCAAAGCCACCCCAGAGCCATCAGGGACCTGAGCCAGGGGTGTCCCTGTCCCCAGAGCCAGCCCAGGCTCTCCCCTCTCCTCCACAGTCGCTCCAGCCCTTCCTCTGCATGGCAGTGACTCCACCCGGTCCCTGCCCGAGCGCAGGGCCAGGGACACGGCCCAGCGGCCAAACCACGGCCCTGCCCCGCCCCACACGCTGCCCCGGTGCTGCCTAGCACCTGGTGTGACAGTCTGGATGCCACCACACACCGAGGGAGAGCTCTGGTTAGAATTCCAAGCTCAGAGCTGACCATGGCTGCTCAGAAGGAGGGTTACTCAGGGAACTTGTGGTCCTTGCGTTTGGAAGAAAGAGAGGCACGGGAAAGGTTCAAGGAAGAGCAGCACAGAAGATCCAAAGCACAGCTGAAACTGGGAGCAGGGACAGGACAGGATCCAGGACAGAGCCCATGAGGAGAGGAGGACAAGGCCAGCAGATGGAAGTTCAGAACAGACAAGAGATGACTGTTGTTCACACAGCAAAGAATTTGGCTCTAGAAATTAGCACAGGAAATTCCAGATGGGAAGAGCTTGCCTGGACTAAAGGAGGGGCTGGGCTGGTTCAGGGAAAGGGAATCCACTCCTGACTCCCATACACAGGATTTCTCTCTGGAGGTGCCAGTGGACACTACAGGAGGAGCCAGGCTCTTTTGCCCAGCACAAGCAGAATGACTTTGAGGGGGAAAAATAAAAGGAACCCTTTGGAACCACTGGCTGAAATTATATTCAATTAAAAGTCATCTCTGGAGAATCCCTCTGTAAAACCAGGGTGCCTTGGACACAGAAGCATCGATGCCCTCCCAGCCAATTGGTCATCCTAGTCCCAGACATCCCTAGTCCTGGGGATTTCTCTGTGCCACGCTGCTGGTACAGCATGTGGTGGATTTGACTGGGAGTTCTGACTTCCCAGTGAGCCGTGGCTGGATGTGTGGCGGGTGCTTCACCACAGCAGAGGATGGCAGCAGCACAGCAAGGAGCCTCCTGCCCCAGATCCACAGGGCATTATTGCTGGAACTAGACCAGGCTGGTCCCACACCCACTGGGAAAGCACAAACACAACACCCCCCAACACCCCCAGGTGCTGTTGCCCAGATGTACCTTGACCCTCCTGCTCTGGAAGGGAGTCGTGGTGAACACGTCGTCGTGGTTGTCCTTGGGCAGGTGCTCCAGGAACTCCCTCATCTGCTGCTTCCGTTTGAGGGTCCCCACCTTGGCACTTATCACCAGCTCCTTCTTATCTGCAGGATCACAACAGTCACTGTCCAGAGACAGCTGGAGGCCGTTCCCTCTCCTCCTGTCCCTGTTCCCTGGGAGCAGAGCCTGACCCCCCACCCAGCTCCCCCCTCCTGTCAGGGATTGCAGAGCCAGAAGGTCCCCCCTGAGCCTCCTTTTCTCCAGGCTGAGCCCCCCCAGCTCCCTCAGCCCCTCCTGCTGCTCCAGCCCCTCCATGTCTCAGTTAAAACCACTTAACAACCCCCAAAGCCCCAGAATCAAGACGCCAGTACCTTTCTGCTCAGGTTGTCTTGCCTTGGCCTTCTTGGCCTGTGATTTGGAGCCTTTGGCCTCCTGCTGCTCCAGGTACTTGCTGTGGCACTCGTGGGCAGAGCGTGACCCCACGGCCATGGCCACCTCCTGCCAGAAGCCGCTCCTGTGCTTGGGAAGCGCCGCGACAGCCCTGCCAGAGAGCACAGCAGGGCCTCAGGGACAGCCCCGGGCACAGCCTGGGACAGCCCCCAGCCCGCCTGGGAAGGGCACTCAGCCCTGGATTTAGGGAATCAGGGCTCTGCCTCTTCTCTCTTGTTGCCCAGAGAAGCTGTGGCTGCCCCTGGATCCCTGCAAGTGTCCAAGGCCAGGTTGGATGGGGCTTGGAGCTACCTGGGCTAGTGGAAGGTATCCCTACCCATGGCAGGGGGTGGATGAGACACTCTTTAAGACCCCCCCAACCCAAACCAGTCTGGGATCCTATGGTGTCTTCTCCAGACACTTAGAACATACACATTTTTGCAGCTCCTCTCTCCTTTACTGAACTGCTGACATAAACATGGGACATTAAACACGTCACTCCAGTTTGGGGCCAGCACCTGCTCCCTCTGACCCATGGTCCACATCACACACACGAGTACTTCTACCATATCATTTACCTTCTCGTGGTTTTCAATTTTACTCATAAGAATGAGTTTTTATTTTTAACAAGATCAATTACGTGGTTTTGAAAACCAGCAGAGGAGTAGATTCACAAAATCCTGCCTAACCAGCGCTCCTCTCCCTTCACGCTCTGACAGGGGCTGCTGCAGGCTCACACATCTCCAGCTATTGTAGAAAGTACCCAGCTTCTCCTGTGTTTCACTGATGGTTAACTTGTGGAGAAAAGGGAACTGAAACGTAAAAGAAACCTTGAGAGTCAGGTGAAAGAGAGGGAATCTGGAAAACCCCACTGCAGACCACCCCACCCCTGCCGGTGCCCGAGGGGAACTGTTCCCTCTGACCACAGAGTGACCCCTTGCCTGTAAAGCTTCTGCAATTCCTTCTCAGACCAGCTATCAGTCGTCCTGGGAAAAAGCTCCAGAGGTTTCTGCCGCTTTGCCCTCTCAGGCTGTCTCCACCTGGCTGCTGCAGACTTGGCAGTGCTGGGAGCTCCAGCCCCTGCTTTTTTACCAGGTGCTTTTGCATTCCCGTCTTTCGCGAGAAGCTCCTCTGTGCTGGTTTCGGGCTCGCTGTCGGAATCCAGCCAGTGCCTGGGGGGTTTGGTTCTGCTCTGTGTCCTCACGGCCTCCCCAGGCAGGAGGGAGTCTCTGGACCCACTGGCAGGAGTGTTTCCTTCGGTGGAGAGCTCAGTCCTGTCGCTGGACTCCGTCCCACTCAGCCTCACCGGCACATTCCGGGAGGCTTTTCCTGTCCTTGGCTCGCCCGCCTTGTTTGCACCATCCTGGGATCTTTCAGAGTTAGGGCGAGATCTGCAGTTTTGAGGCCCTGGTTTTAACAGGGATTTATTTTTCCTTCTGATCAGCAGTGGGGTATCATCACTGGATGCCTCTCCCTCATCCTTGTCCGAGGATTCCTCGGTGAAGCGCTTGTCTGAAAAAGGCTTCCTGGCTGACCTCAGGGGGTACCTGGAAGCCTGCTCGTACATGGACAGGTCTGCAGCATCTGCATCTGCTCCTTGCTTCTCCTTTGCCATTCCTTGGATCCTGGTGCTGTGTCTGGTGTTTGAGGAAGGCACCCTGGCAGGAGGCAGGGCTTTGGGTTTTGTGCCCCTGGTTGCAGGGTCACTCTCCTCCTCCTCCGACAGCAAGGGCCGGGCCTCCTTCCTTCCAGCAGGCTTGAATTCCCGTTTGGAGCTGGCTCCTTTCTCCTTGCTTTTCCCTGGAAGAGACAATGCCAGGGTGCAGGGTGAGCCGTGGCTCTCAGCACAGGGCACGTGTAACCCCTGCCAGGCACTACCAACTCAGAGCTGCGGGAAGGGCTGTCCGTGACTTTACCAAACACAGTGATGGGCACACACCTCCCAAAGCTCTGTCCTGCTCCAGAGAGCCTTTCTGCAGGAGACATTGCAGATGCTTTAGGAGACAAACTTCTGCTTGGCATTTCACACTGTTTGCAGGCTTCTACTACTGCCCCAATTTCATTAACAGCTCTGTTAATGGACCCTTTTTCCGTGCCTGCACAGGCATTTCAGGTCTCTGAATTCATCCTCATTAAAAAGCCAAGCCAGGCCCCCAGGTCACTGGATTGGTGAGCTCAAAAAAATCCTAATCCCTTCACTTCAGTGTGCAGAAAGAAATGTGTCCCACTTCTGCAATTAGAGAACACTTTTACAAGCACAGTTTATATTTGGAGCTGTCAAACTACACATCAATGCTCATAGAAACAGCAGCTGACCATTAAAAGACTTAAAGAATTCCTTTGCATTAACAGACCCCACCCCACTGCTCCAGCGCCCAACCCACAACCCCACTGATTCCATCAATCACTTGAAAATAGGAGAAAAAAAGTTTTTACCTTTATTTTGGCTTTTTGGCATTTCCTCTGTTGTCTTCATGACTTCCTTTGGATTATTCTTCTTAGAGATGGAACTGGTCTTTTTGTGGGATTTTTCACTACTAATCATCTTTAAAATAATACAATTTAAAAAAACCTAATTTAATCTCCTTTTCTCCAGGCTGAGCCCCCCCAGCTGCTCCTGCTGCTCCAGCCCTTTCCCAGCTCCGTTCCCTTCCCTGCCCACGCTCCAGCCCCTCAAGGGCTTTCCTGCAGTGAAGGGCCTCAGGATCTGAGGTGGGACCTCACCACCTTCCTGTGTGATACATTATCTTGCCAAAACCCCCATTCTGTTTCCAGAACCAATTCCCCATTGTCCCCATTTTACAGACAACAATGACCTGATAACACAGAGCTAAGGCAATTCTGTTGTTTTACAATGTTTTTACCACGCTCCCAAGATTTCCTTCCCCTCCAGGTACCCCTGAGAGCTGCACTGGTTCCGTTACACACCTTGCCAAGTTTATTCATTATATTTAAGACACACTGAAGTACCAACATGCAAAGGCACCTTACCATGCTCAGATAATCCACTCCACCTTCCTCCACGGTGACATTAAGGTTCTGATCCACAAAGGCTCGTTGCCCACACCAGAAGTTCATGGGGGGTTTGATGAGCCTCCCGCTGCGAGTGTACACCTGGCTGGAGTCGTTGCCCTGGGAGCTGTGCCTTGGGGTGGTGTCTGCAGGGCAAAAACAGGAAAGAAGGGGCTTGTCCCAGGCACTGCATGGAAAATTCAGCTTTGCACACTTCACAAGCGATGAGGTGTTTAAAGGAGACCGCAGGCAAATGTCAAACTCAGCCCAAGGAGTTCTTCTGAAAGAGTTCTGATTGGAAAGCACAGCACTGAACTGATCCCCTGCACAGGTTATACCACTCTGGGGGGATCTGCACTTGGTTTGCAAGGTTATAAACACCGGGAAAGTCGTGGAGGGAGGGACAAGGATAAAGAGAAGTTGCCACACTGAACAGCTCCTCGTTGAGAGAAAAGGGACCGAAAAATAAACACGGATGATGAGAGACAAATAAATGGGAGGGAGGAGAGACAAAAATAAAGGAGCTTTTACAGTGCTAGCAAGGAAATCTGATTGCAGCATCTACAAACAGCACAGTGGAGTTTGGCCAAAGCCCCACTGGACACAGAACCCAGAGAAAGGTCAGAGTTAAAGCCCAAAGCTGCCAGTGTCCACAAGGCTGGGACTGCTCTCCAAGGCCCAGCAAAACCAGCTGGCTCAACAGGTTGAGGCTTTACAGCAATTCCTTGGAAACAAAACCAACATAAGGAGCTTTTCCACAAACCATTTCATCCATCCCCAGTTGTCTTTTCCAAATGAAATGATTATCAAACACTCACAAGTGTTTTCATCATTCCTTGGCAATACTTCATAGGTGGAGTTCTTCGTTCCAGGTTTCTTCTTTGAGCCTTTTGCAGTTTCCAACACATTGACTTCCACCACAGAGTCACTCTCTTCATCCGCACCACTGGTTTGTTTTTGTGCTTTTCTAATGATTTGGAGTTTAAGAAAAGAAATAATAAGCATCTAAAAAAGCTGTTCCCTAACAAATGATGTAAAAGGGAAGCCTTCCTATGGGCAGAAGCCCAGTGGCACGGCACAGCAGTGGCTTCATGCACACATCTGCAGCCTTTCACACTTCTCTGGTACAATATTCTTAAAAAGCAAAATCTCAATGAACACTTTAAAGAACATTGCAATGAAACAGAATCTCCAAAGAAATTACCTCCTCCTTTGCTCGAGAAACTCCTGGACATACTCCTTCCACCGTCTGGAAAAGCCAAAGGTGAATCTCTTGATGAAGCGGTAGGGAAACCCTGGGGGGACAGAGGGGCATCAGCAACAGCTCAGCAAGACTTTTAGTCACTGAGGGTAGAGAAACTATCCAGGACAAGCATAGTCAGTCCAGAGATCAGAGGAACTGACCCAGCCAGTTCCCTGCCAGCACAGCCCATGCACTCCAGGCTTCAGGAAGCCTCAGCAGCACTCGAGCCACTGTCACAGACCTACTGCTGCTACTCCTCAGAATGGTAAAATGAAAGCCAATACAAGTATTTAGCAAGCTGCACCCTCAGCAGTGCAGTGACCCCTCAGCAGTGTGCAGTGACCCCTCAGCAGTGTGCAGTGCTGCACCCTCAGCAGTGCTGTGCATGACCCTCCCAGCAGTGCCAGCAGTGTCCAGTGACCCCTCAGCAGTGCAGTGACCCCTCAGCAGTGCAGTGACCCCTCAGCAGTGCAGTGACCCCTCAGCAGTGTGCGGCAGCGTGCAGTGACCCCTCAGCAGTGTCCAGTGACCCCTCAGCAGTGCAGTGACCCCTCAGCAGTGTCCAGTGACCCCTCAGCAGTGTCCAGTGACCCCTCAGCAGTGTGCAGTGACCCCTCAGCAGTGCAGTGACCCCTCAGCAGTGCAGTGACCCCTCAGCAGTGTGCAGTGACCCCTCAGCAGTGTGCAGTGACCCCTCAGCAGTGTCCAGTGCTGCACCCCTCAGCAGTGCAGTGACCCCTCAGCAGTGCAGTGACCCCTCAGCAGTGTCCAGTGCTGCACCCTCAGCAGTGCTGCAGTGACCCCTCAGCAGTGTGCAGTGCTGCAGTGACCCCTCAGCAGTGTGCAGTGACCCCTCAGCAGTGCAGTGACCCCTCAGCAGTGTTCAGTGCTGCACCCTCAGCAGTGCAGTGACCCCTCAGCAGTGTGCAGTGACCCCTCAGCAGTGTGCAGTGACCCCTCAGCAGTGCAGTGACCCCTCAGCAGCCCCTCACCTTCTCTCCTCATGGTGGCCGAGTCCAGCTTGCCCTGCAGGATGTAGAGGCTGCCCGAGGCCGTCCTCACCTGGTTGTGTGCCACGCGCTCGGTGACGGCGTTGCTGTGCCACAGCAGGCCCCTCATGTCTCTGCGGAAACACAGAGCGTCAGGAACGGGAATACCAAGTTTTCTTTGCATAAAAGAAGGGGGTTCAGTCTGGCACTCTGATATTGCACGGGGCAGTGGCACTGATGCACATTCCCGAGGGATGCAGGTGCTGGCAGGATGTGCTCTGTGCTGTTTCCTTTCCTGGCCTGGAACAGGAACAGCTCTGGCCTTGTCTGGCCACCTCTTGCCCACACAGAGGAATTGGTCCCTTCCTTGTTTTAAACAGTTTAACAACTACAGCATCCCTTGGTGCTGGGTGCCCTGGGCTGCCCAAAGCAGCCCCGTTTTACACTAAACTTCAATCACAAAACTGGCTCTTACTGCCGTTTGCCCTCCACGGAAATGGCCGTGTTGCCATCCATCACTTTAATCCTCCAGCTGCTCAGGCAGATGCTTTTCTGTTATAGAAAAAAAAGAAAAGAAAGCATTTAAAATGATGTTTACTAACCAGCACCTCCTCAGTGCTCAGGTCCAGTAACAACATCTCTTTCAGCATCTTCTCCTTGGCTACAAATCTTGCCTATTAAAGGGCATCTGATCCTAATCTCAACCAAAGCCACGAGGAAGGTGAATTGTTTTTGTAATACAGGAAACCCGTCAGGCACACTTGGCCACGCGGGGAGAACAAAACAAGTCACTTGCTTAATTTGAAGGGACTGCAATCCCAGATTTCTCCAGGGAGCAAGGGAAACTCAAGCCTTGGGCAGGTGTGCTAGTGCCGGGTTTCCAGGGAATCCCAGGGACGCAGCATGCTTCCAAATACACTGTTTTCCATACAGAATGGTGGGAATACTGCCAGGCTGCAGACTGCTCTCCTAGGAAAAGATTCTGATCCCACTTGACTCAACAGGAGTCCAGATGTTCTGTAGGAAAGCCAAGCCTTTTACCTCCCCAACAGCTGGGTAGATTCATGGATTCATCCCTAGCCTACAGCTGGGAAAGCTCTTTGCTCCTTGGATTTGAGTGGGCAGCCAAGAGCTGGAACCAACACAGTGGCTTGTGCACACTAAACCAAAAGGGCCTCTTTTACACAAAAAAACCCCAGACCCTGAACATCTGTCATCTTGGAGTAAGGTAAAAAAAGAAATCTTTTTGATGGGAAAATTTACCAGTAAAATCTAATGAAATAGTGTTTATTCTCTTCTGAGCACTCCTTGCCTTTGGCAAGAAAAACCACAACTGTGAGCTACACACAGCCCAGAGGAATCTCTCTTTCCCTAAAGGATTAATTTCTCCCACCTCTTTGTCTGCTTTGCTAGCAGGTTGGTCGGTATGAGGTTTGTCCAAAGGGTCCTCAGGCTTCTCTGTCACCTTCTGCTTCTTTGGAATGTGGACTGAGGGGCTAGACAGCATAATGCTGCAGAAGCACTGGGAGGGCTTTGGGGAATTGCTCCCCAGAGTCTTTTCCACTGCCAGAGCAGCTTGGTTTTTACTGGGCTGCAGCTCTCTTCTGTCTTCAGGAACCTCTGTATCTTTTGCTCCTCCATTTCCCCTCTTTTCTTTTATCTGATTATCGTTTTTCAAAGGGGTGGAATTTACATTCAGAAAACTAATCACTTCACTCTGGGACATCTCACAATCAGCATCTATTGGTTCCACAAGGAAAACGTCCACATCATCCTCCTTATCGGTTTCCACCTCCTCAGGAGGCTCATTCCTGGGCTGCTCAGCACAGGCAGGCTTGACTAAAGGCTTCTCTGCGGCTGTGGAAGGAGGGATGTTCTGCTGGATGGCGTTTGAAGGGGTTGGATCTGCACATTAAAAAAAAAAAAGGAGTACCAAAGAAGTTAGTGATCCTGAAGCACTGGAACAGGCTTGGGGGGGGCCCTGGGACAGGGGGCAGTGGTGACCTTGGGATGGCTGGACTCAGTGAGCCAGAGGGCTTTTCCAGCCTCACCAGTTCCTTGGGTCTGTGACCCCAGGAGGCTGTCAAGTGTTTCCCAGAGCAGTCCCAAGTACCTTTGTGCTGCTGCTGCAGTTTCTGCTTTATGCGCAGGAAGAACTTCTGGGGGCTCTCCAGCACAGGGGGCTCTGCAGCAGGCGGGGCCTGAGGGACCCACGGGAAAACCGACCCTGCAAAGCAACCACAAGAGAAAACCTCCTTGATCCGGGGAACACAAACATTCCCGGGGGGGATATGGTTTGTTGATGCCACTGCAGCACGAGATGCCTGAGTGTTCTGTGAACTGAACTCAGAATTACAGCTCTGTGCCTTCTATTCCAAGTGTTTTGAAGGCAAACAAACCGTTCTCTGGGAGTCACTGAGAGCCCGTGGCACTCACCATGTCCCGGCTGGGCGGTGCCCCGGCCCTGCCCGGTGCCGGGGGTCAGGATCCGGTGGCTGTTCCCGATGCTGGGGGTCAGGATCCTGTCAGTGGCACGGCTCTGCCTGGTGCTGGGGGTCAGAATCACATCAGTGGCACGGCTCTGCCTGGTGCTGGGGGTCAGGATCCTGTCGGTGCCCTGGCTCTGCCCAGTGCTGGGGGTCAGAATCACATCGGTGGCACGGCTGTTCCCGGTGCCGTGGGTCAGGATCCCATTGGTGGCACGGCTGTTCCTGGTGCTGTGGGTCAGGATCCCATCGGTGGCACGGCTGTTCCCGGTGCTGTGGGTCAGGATCCCATCGGTGGCACGGCTGTTCCTGGTGCTGTGGGTCAGGATCCCATCAGTGGCACGGCTGTTCCTGGTGCTGTGGGTCAGGATCCCATCGGTGGCACGGTTGCTCCCGGTGCTGGGGGTCAGGATCCTGTCGATGGCACGGCTGTTCCCGGTGCCGCGGGTCAGGATCCCGTCGGTGGCACGGCTCTGCCCGGTGCCGCGGGTCAGGATCCCGTCGGTGGCACGGCTCTGCCCGGTGCCGTGGGTCAGGATCACATCGGTGGCACGGCTGTTCCCAGTGCCGTGGGTCAGGATCACATCGGTGGCACGGCTGTTCCCAGTGCCGTGGGTCAGGATCACATCGGTGGCACGGCTCTGCCCGGTGCTGGGGGTCAGGATCCTGTCGATGGCACGGCCCTGCCCAGTGCTGGGGGTCAGGATGACATCGGTGGCACGGCCCTGCCCGGTGCCGCGGGTCAGGATGCCGTCGGTGCCCTGGCTCTGCCCGGTGCGGCCCTGCCCAGTGCTGGGGGTCAGGAGGATGCCGTCGGTGCCCTGGCCCTGCCCGGTGCCGCGGGTCTGGATGCCGTCGGTGCCGCCCCCGCGGCGCCGCTGCCGCTCCGCCCGCTCCTTCATCCGCTGGAAGATCTTGGCTGGGGACTCCTGCCCGGGCGCCTCCGGGGCGCGGCGCTTGGGTGGCCGCTCTGCCGCGGGCCCGGCCCGGCCGTGCGGGACATCGCGCGGCCCCGCGGGCGGCAGGGCCCGCCCGGCCGGCACAGCGCCCTGGGCCTGCAGCAGCTCCTTCAGCGGCGTCAGCGTCCCCGCGGGGAGGCTGCTCAGCTGCACCGAGCGCACCGGCGGCTCGCCCCGGGCGGGGCGGCGGCCGGAGGCGGCGATCATGGCCCGGCTCCTCCCGGTCCCCTCCCGGCTGTCCCGGGTCAGTCCCGTCCCCTCACGGTGGGTCCCTCCCGGCGGTCCCGGGTCAGTCCCGTCCCCTCACGGTGGGTCCCTCCCGGCGGTCCCGGGTCAGTCCCGCCCCCTCACGGTGGGTCCCTCCCGGCGGTCCCGGGTCAGTCCCGTCCCCTCACGGTGGGTCCCTCCCGGCGGTCCCGGGTCAGTCCCGTCCCCTCACGGTGGGTCCCTCCCGGCGGTCCCGGGTCAGTCCCGTCCCCTCAGAGCGGCCCCGCGCTCAGATTCGAGCGCGGCCGCGCGCGCGCATCACGGAGCGGCGTAGAGCGAGAGGGGTGTTGGGAGAGCACGGCCTGGCGGGCGCCATTGGAACAGGCGGGGACAGGAAGGGGCCATGCCGGGGCTCCCCCCGTTCCGGCGCGGTGGTTCGGCCCGCGCTGAAGGCGGGCTGCGCGGCCGTTGGGGCTCAGGGGAGGGCGGGACTGAGGGGCGGTCCGGGCTCTGAGGGGCGGTCCGGGCTCGGAGGGGTAGTCCGGGCTCTGAGGGGCGGTCCGGGCTCGGAGGGGTAGTCCGGGCTCGGAGGGGCGGTCCGGGCTCTGAGGGGCGGTCCGAGCGCCAGGCGGTCGGCTTGGCCGAGGCTCCCCGGCAGCGGGTGAGCCGCAGGCGGTGCAGGAGGAGCCCTCCCCCTGTGCTGGAGCAGCGGCCGCGTCGGGAGGGAGGGAGGGAGGAGGGCGGGCAGCGGCTGCTCCCGCCCCTCACACAGGGACAGCCCCGCAGGGGGGACAGCCCGCGGACAGCGTGTCCTGCCCGCAGGTACGTAAATGAATGAATGAATGAATCAATCAATCAATAAATAAATAAACACCAACCTTGTATGAGCAGCAGCCCCGCCTGAGCCCAGCGTGACTGCGTGCAGAGCTTTGGAAAGAGCGATAAATGCAGCCCATAGCTGTTAAATACGGGGTTAATTAGAGCGCTGGAAGCCTGGGCGCGCTGTTGCCTGTCCTGGCTGGAAGATTCCGCAGTAAGGGCTCGTGGTTCCCAGTGAATAACGCATTAAAGAGTACCCAGTGCTACACAAACAGCACGCAATGGGGCCACAGGTGCCCCGGCAGCCCAGCACTAACGAGCTAACTAACAGGGGGATCAGGTGGGGCTGGCCCTTAGATCAGTCCCGCTAGGCGGGTTAGAGTCACCTCGGGGGGAGAAATCACTCTGGTGCGTGCCTGTTAATTACAAAGAGCTGCATTAAAAGGAAAAAAAAATCAAAAGTAGTTACGTTGGATACTTTGTGGCACTGTTGCAACTTTTTAGACTAATTCGAGTCTTTGGGCCTCTTGCAGGACATGCACGTGCTGCCCAGCAGCCGCGTTTTCTGGAGCCGACAGGGATGCCGTGCTTGCAGCTACTCAACCTTCCCGGAATTCCCGGCCGGAGGGGAGCGCAGGGACACTGTGAGGGATCACAGGTAGGTGCGTCAGGGGAGGGGGGCACGGGCTGGGAAGAGAAGAGAAGGGTCTCTGCAGGCACTGGGGAAGAGGGAAGGAGAACGTGGAACAGTTCGGAATGGCAAGAAAGGGCTGCGTTTGGATTTTACGTGAGTTGTTTGTTGCGTGTCTGACCGTGGTTTGTGATCCACGGACTCCGTACAGCCGGCACGGCTTCATTGGGTTCATTATCTCTAATGATAACTTAGTGCTCCCATGGTTTAAGTACTTATCAGCTCAGCTTCTGCCTGAAGCAGCAAAAGCAAAGGAAGTTTCTTCGGCTCCAGTTACTTGCAGCAGTCACCACAGTGCTCCCTCTCAGGAGCAAAAACGGATCCACAGAAAGCCAAGGGAGTGGTAATTCCTTTTTTGTAGTAACAAGCACGTGTGTGAGATTTGGGGGTGTAACTGAGGTACCTGTAGAATTCTTATTATAATTTTTTTTAGCCCGACTAAATAAGTCCCCCCTTGTCTGTAACATTTTTAAGCTTTTTTGCTGTTTTGTTGCTCCAGTAAGGAAGAGATCAGGTTAATTATATAGAGAAAAAAGACTAATCCAGACTAAGCAGAAAAAGCCGTTGAGGACACAAGAGTTAATGTGATTGTTGTTGGGTGTGTGGCTGGGCATCAGCTGTGTGTGCCCAGCAGAGCTGGCTCTGGGAGAGCAGCTACACCTGGAGACAATTAAATAATCAAGAAAGGGCGAATTTGGTCCCAGGTCCCACTTCCAGGTGACTTGTCAGCCTTATCAGCTCCTTGTGCCATGGGTTTACAAGGAAACTCCTGTGTTTTATTTGGGATGTATCCATGTTAATCTCAGGAATTGCCAGAAAGGACCTGAAATTGAGCATCCTGGTGGTTCTGTTTGAGGAAACTGCTGATGCCAATCAGAATCTCCCTGAAAAAACGGGACAGATCATGATTGCACGACAAAGGGTTTTCCAAGGTCCTCTTTCACACTTCCTCGCTCTTCATTTCCCAGTGGAAATGCAATCCATGCTGCTGGCCTTTCCTGACTTGGCTGGTGTAAGTTATTGGGGCAGCAGCTGCAGAAATACAAGCCAAAAAGTCTGTGTAAAGCACATAAAGCCCAGTAACCTCAGTCAGGTCACTACAAGTGTGGGGGAAAACTGAAAAAACCTCCCCACCTCAAAACACCACTTTCATGCTGTTTGGCTGAGGGGTCTGTGCTTTTCCATGTTTTTTCAAGGAAATATTTCAGATTTTTTTTCTTTTTTGGGGAGGCCCTTTTGACAGGTCCTGTAAATGAAGCAATCCTATAAATTATATATATGTGTGTAATAAGTATAAAGGCATAAGAATAAATGTCTGAAGTTTACTCTTCTTTCACATTTTTGAGATCTTAAATCCATTAATTGCATGGCTGCAAAACACACCCCTAATGCTTCCTTTGTTTGGGGTAGGTGGAAGAAAACTGTATTTCATATATTTATACACATACAGGTCTGTAGAGGATGGTGTATTACTGGCTTTAAAATGCAGAAATGCAGAACAGTCTTTGTTAAACCTATTCCAACCTTTCCCTGCTGCAAGTTGCTGATGCCAGTTTGGGCTCTGCTCCCATTCCTTCTGCTGTGACTGAGGGATGATTTTGGTTACAGAGGTCATAATGCACATTTCTGGTCAAATGAGCTGGGTGACTTTCTCAAAACAGAAAGAGTTTATGATGCCTAAATGAGGTTTGGCCTGTGATTTCCAAGGTAGCTTTGGGATCTTCCTTAGCTGGGAGGACAATCCTTGTTACCTCCAAGAGGTTGGATATTTGTTTGGATTTATGAGCAGGTTCTATAATTTGTGTACCATTTCTTAACATTTGCTCCAGGTCCGGGGCAGACACCTGAGGAGGCTCTGCAGGCTGTGCTTTCAGCACTGGGTTGTGGGATTTATTATTTGGGGCGTGAGTTTTGCTGTCAGTGTATCAGCAGTGAATCCATTTGCATTCATCCTGCTCCTGCTTATTTAGTCATTTTGCTGGGAATGCAAATGTCTTAGTGAAACTGATTTGTTTTGCTGGGCAAGGTTTGCCCTTTATTTGAACTTTATTCATGACTGGAGAGATACTCTGTGGAATAATGGACTGGAAGCTGGGATGCCATGGCCTGTGTTAACCTCTGGGGTCGTCGAGTCCAGCCATCCACCAGCACCACGTTCACTGCTGAGCCGTGGCCTCGAGTGCCACATCCACAGGTTTTTTGGACACGTCCTGGCACAGGTTGCCCAGAGAAGCTGTGGCTGCCCCTGGATCCCTGGAAGTGTCCAAGGCCAGGCTGGAGCACCCTGGGCTGGTGGGAGGTGTCCCTGCCCATGGCAGGGGTGGCACTGGGTGGCTTTAAGTCCTTCCCCACCCGAGCCAGCCCTCAGCCCGCTGTGCAGGTGGCACACTCGTCCCGCTGCCGCTGCGGTACCTGCACTGCCGGTGCTCCTCGGAGAGGGCATTTCCCGCCGCATCCAGGGGAAGGGCTGGCTCCCCAGCGTTCCGGGGGTGCTGGGCAAGGGCTGGCTCCCCAGCGTTCCGGGGGTGCTGGGCAGGGCTGGCTCCCCAGCGTTCCGGGGTGCTGGGCAGGGCTGGCTCCCAGCGTTCCGGGGGTGCTGGGCAGGGCTGGCTCCCAGCGTTCGGGGTGCTGGGCAAGGGCTGGCTCCCCAGCGTTCCGGGGGTGCTGGGCAAGGGCTGGCTCCCCAGCGTTCCGGGGGTGCTGGGCAGGGGCTGGCTCCCCAGCGTTCCGGGTGCTGGGCAAGGGCTGGCTCCCAGCGTTCCCGGGGGTGCTGGGCAAGGGCTGGCTCCCCAGCGTTCCGGGGGTGCTGGGCAAGGGCTGGCTCCCCAGCGTTCCGGGGGTGCTGGGCAAGGGCTGGCTCCCCAGCGTTCCGGGGGTGCTGGGCAAGGGCTGGCTCCCCAGCGTTCCGGGGGTGCTGGGCAAGGGCTGGCTCCCCAGCGTTCCGGGGTGCTGGGCAGGGCTGGCTCCCAGCGTTCCGGGGTGCTGGGCAGGGCTGGCTCCCCAGCGTTCCGGGGGTGCTGGGCAAGGGCTGGCTCCCCAGCGTTCCGGGGGTGCTGGGGAAGGACGAGCCCTGTGCTCCGTGCGGGCTGTGTGATCCGGAGCAGAGCGCTGTCTCCACGAGATGGCAGGAGCTCCCTTCCCTCTTCCCGGCCTCCGGAGCGGGCGCTGGCCAGCACAGCCGTTCTGAAGCGCTCGTGTGACAGCATCGTTATCCACGGCGCTCGCTACTCGGCACCTCAGCGTGTGCTCTCAGCTCGCGAGCTGCGTGGTGTGAGCTGAGCCAGCATTCCCTGCCTCTGGAAAGCTGTGCCTCCCGCACACAGCCGGCGTAGCGCTGCTGCTCCCGCTCTCACGGGCCCCCAGCCGCGAGAGAAGCATTCTGGCCACATACATCTTTAACTCCTTATCTTTCCCATTGCCATTTTGTTGCTGTTGGAGTGCGTTCCGTACTGTTCCCTCTGTGCTTGGCTGCTGCCTTCCTGTTTCAGTGTCAATGTGTTCCTGCCTAATTCCTACCCCTGGGTCTCGTGCTGCCCATTCCCACACTGATTCCCTCCCTGGTGTGTCCCTGGAAGCAGCTGGAAGCACTGAGCCCTGCCAGTGTGCTGCTGCTTCTGCTCCAGTTTGTCTTGGAATTCGGGCTCTGAAGCTTTGCTTGCACAGGGGTCAGGAGGGATTTCTTACCCTCGTGGTGAGCATCTTCCCCTGCACGTCCTCAGATGCTTGAATGAGAATTTCCAGTTTGGTTATTAATTGCAGTTCTGGCACAAGGTGTTTCTGTAGGGCATTGAGGTCCAGTTTTTATTAAATCCAGTCAGTTTTGCAATGTCCTGGTAATTAATC